GAATATCTGTTTCAAAGACATCATCACGCAAGACAAATATTGTATCAAAGCACCAAGAACAAATGGAAATTTCTACAAGCTCAACTTCTGTAACTAAAACGTCGTCACGTGTTTATGGTTATATGCAGTCGACTGTTTCACGTGATCGTAAAATTGGAAAAATTACACAAATTGCTCAACGTGCACCACGCTCAAGAAATGATAGTGAATCAAAGTCTGTCGAAAAAAGGAATGCTTCAATTGAGAAAGAAAAACATTCCGAAACAATTGAATTTAGAAAAGACTTTGAAGTAGATGCTAAAATAAATTTCCAATCACCGACAAAGAAACAAATTAAAATAGTCGATAACAAATCAAAAGAACATGTTATTGTTAAAAAGTCGGATTCCTTTAAACATAAATCTCCGGCAAAGATTGTACAATCTGATACTGATAAGTCATCATCTGATAAATCTGCATCAATTGTGTCGATGACAAAATCCTTAAAGGATAAGAAAAATTCAAGTTTGATACCAATTAAAAGAGAAAAGCAAAAGGTTACCAAATTAACTCAACCACAACCACGACAAATAATTTCGAAAGAAAAAGATGATAGTATGAGTCATACCGAAAAGTTTGTTGTAGAGAAATCTACAGTACAACAATATAAATCTGCCTCGATAACAAAATCCTCAAAACAAGTACAAAAAATCTCTGTAGCAGGAATAAAAGAAAGTGATAAAATGACTGTGATTAGCAGAAAAAAGAAAAAGACTGAAAGAGTTCCAAAAAGTGATTCTCAAGATTCATTTGATAAAGTTCAAAAGATTGATAACTCAAGCGCCCCTACTAAAACCCCAATAATAGCCTCAAGCCGCACAAAGAAAAGTCGGACAACATCAAAATCTATAAAACCACCAGCAGTAACAACAACAACAATTACTCAGGCAGACATAACCTTCCGTAGTCAATCTGCAATGTATTATGCAAATAAAGATAGTATAACATTTGAACATGGAGAAATCGCATCCTCAATGCCATCAAGTCCAAGTCATGTTAAAAGACCAAATTCATCGAATGGAAATAATATAATAACAAGTGAAGTATTTACAAGAACTGTCGAGTCTCCAAAATCACTTGAAGTGATTTATCGTCAGCCAGAATCTTTTCATTCGTCAAAAATAAAATATATTAGTGATGTTGATGCTAGTTTCATTGAAACTACAGACTCAAGTTTATCTGATTCGATTGCCTTGCCATCTTCAACGTCCGAATTTGATCCGGAAATTAAGAAAAAGTCAAAGACAAGTCCTCAATCACCAACAGAAACTACAATGCCACTTGATTTAGTTGAAGGTAAACCGCGTAAAGCAGATATTACAACAATGAAAACAGAAAAGGATGAAAATGATGTAATTACTTCAACATCTACTGTTAATATTGACATTGAATCAATCTCACCAATACTTGAATTCCAGGCCGTTTCACCACAGCGACAAAAACACAAATTTTCTTATGAAAAGAAAGGTAATTTTCCATAAAAACAAAATAATTTTTTTAAATATTGTAAAAATACCATTTTTAATGATGTTAAATTATACAATATTCAGAAGACCAAGGCGCATTTTTGACACTTACTTTTTAAGTCGTAGGTTAAATTTTACTCGATTCTCTCCAGAACTTACCAGATTGTATTTTTGTCGAACAAAAATGCGTTTAAATTATTTTCATATTCTTCCTCAACATTAATCATGAGTAAAACTTTGTTTTCACAATCTTATTTTTCAAAAGTATTAATTAGTGATATTTTATAGTTTAAATCTATGACAATATATTGTGAATGAATGAATTTTGACAAATTTAAAAAAATATACACAATATACACAAATATACACACCAGAGCTACATACATTTTGAATTGATTGATGTATAATAAATGTGTTTGTGATCGTAGTTTTAAAAAAATATATATATATTATTTAACTTTTATTTTAAACTTTGTTGCTCAGCCATTTTTAAAATTGATTTGCCATTTCAATGCGAAAACTGCCAATGTCCAATAATTTTTGGATTCAATTATTTTATATACAATTTTAGTTCAATATGTTTTTTTATTTTTAAAATATTTCCTACATCAAATTAGATAGAAATATAAAAATTTAGAAAGAATGACAGACGTTCCAATTATTGCAATTGATGAAGTTGAGGACAACGATGATTCATCTTGTAAACTCAATATTAATGAATGTCATACAGACATCGAGGATCTCGAGAGTGAAGGAGACATGAAAAAAACATTAATGTCAGTTTTGAAACCTAAAAGACAATCTAATGGCTCCATAACTGATGTTGAAGATTTTGAAGATTCTGATGATAATGAAAACATTCCAGAAGAATCAATTGATTTTGGTCCGGAAATTTCATTGACAGAAATGCTTGATCAAGGTTCTGTTGATGAGCATTCAAATTTACAAGGAAATGTCAACAAGACTAAATTGCAAGGAATGCATTCTATCCAAAAATGCCCGAGTCCAACAGCTTTTCATCTTAACATTCTTCCATTAGATCAAGGAGGTATTACTGATGTCGAAGATTTAGAAGGTTCTGGTGATGAAATGAATGAAAAAGTTTACTCCGATGACGAAAAAGCAATTGAGCTAGAAGGTGGTAATGTTGTTGATGTTCACGACTCAATGAATCGCAAAAAAACTGAATGCAAGTTTGTAGCAAAAGTTGTCGAAGCAAGTTCATCATCATCAGGTTCAGAAGATGAAAAGGAAAAAGTAACAAAATCTAAGCCTAATAAGCATCATTCAAAAAGAAATATGCGCTGTGAAGAACAAAAGTCAGACGTAGAAAATATTTATTTTACGGATGATGAAAGGAAAAAAAGTTTACAGAAGTCTACACCAATTTTGGATACACCAGACATTGAAATTATGGCGTTTGATGGAAGTGATAATGATGATGCTGACCAAAATTATCCTGAAATTAATATTACTTTTTCAACTGGAAGTGATGGATGTAAAAAGAAGAAACACAAACAAACACCAGCACCGTCACCAATGTTAAAACTTCCAGAGAATCAAGATGAAGCTCTTACTGATGTTGAAAATTTAAACTCTTCTGATGATGAGGATGAAGACATCCAGAAATCAAAAAAACTTATGCCTCTTGCTCTTGCAAAAAGTGATGCATTAACTGACGTTGAAGATTTTGATGATCCAGAAAGTGAAGAAGCAAGTGATGTCGAAAATTCACCAGATGTTAATCTTCCATCACCTGTTAGAGAATTCACTGTCCTTGTTGAGAGTAAAAGTGGTGAGCCTTATAAAGAAACAACTCCATTGCCTGATAATATGTTACTTGGATTTGATGATCTTGATGCTGATAAAGGATTAACAGATATAGAAGATTTTTCTGATGAAAGTGGAAATGAGGAAGAAGACGATGAGAATGAATTGAAATACAGAGAAAATTTTAAGTTTCCCGATATCGATGGCGGTGTTGTAGAGTCTTCCGATCACTCAATGGTTAAAGAATCAAGTCTTAGAGTATCACATACACCAGAACCTAAAACGGATACTGAAGATATTTTTTTAAAGAAATCCGAAAAGACACAGGAATGTCGTAGACGTAGAGGAAAGAACAAGCATCACATCAGTAAACCAACTAAGTCTAATTTTCTAGATACAAAATTTTATGATGACGGTGCAGGATCAGCACATACAGATGTTGAGGACTTACATGTTGAAGAAGATGATATATTACTTAAAGACAAAAATATAAATCAACGAAGAGCAACGATTGAATGTTCACCCAGAAATATTTCAAATGGTGATGCCAAAACTGATGTAGAATATTTATCTTGTGGTGATGACATTCTAGACGAAACTTTATTTATACCCGAAATAATTCAATCATTAAACTCATTTGTTGAAACTCGAAATTCGACAATGTCTAGAGAATCAATCGGAAATAAGAAATGTTCCTTAAATAATGACTTAAATATCCCTTTGATACGAAGAACATCAGCAACACCTCAACCAACTCCTCGAGGTTCTTTAACATGTGGAACTGACATAGAAAATATCCAATGTGATTCTGATAATGATGAATACGTCTCATATTCGCGTGCGCAAACTGCCACTCCAATTGAGATAAATCGTCAGCTCGAGGAGCTTTGTATGTCAGAAATTCACGACATTTATAAACGTGGTTGTGATCATAATCGTGAAAGATTTGAGATCAAAGGATTTGAGATTGACAACACGGAGGCTCTCACAGACGTTGAATATCTTGATTGATTGATTGTCAATTTAAGAAAAAAATGCATTTTTATTTTATTTTTATGCTAGAATTTCTCAAACCAAATTAAATTTAAAAAATTTTCTTAGATGTATTTTTATTGAACTTTAGTATCTAAAACCTTTATGACTAACAATTCCATTAAAATTGAACGTCATTTTGCTGCTACAAATATAAATTTTAAAACTATTTATTTTTTAATAATTTTATTTTTCTTAGTGTTGCTTTGTGGCTTAGTTTTCTTAATTTTTTTTATTATTTTAATAATATTTTTTAAAAACTTCCTGTTATCTCTCCTTCTGTCATTGACTATAAAATAGAATTTTTGGCTTTATAATTCGGAAAAGATCATTTTATAAGAGAAATCAAAATAATTGGATTTTAAATTATAAAAATATGCTAGTCCTTAAAAATCCTCAATAATAAATATATCATTTGAATACCATTTTGACGCCATTGCAGATGAAATTAAATTCGATAAATTTGGAGTCGAGAGTGCTGAAGAACATGACTCAGATAGCGCCAAAGGTTAGTGGTTGTATCTTAAAATTATTTAAAAATCGAAGATTTTGAATTCGAAATATTGTCAAAACATTCATAACGTGACTAAGAAAAGTTTTTAAATTGTTTTAATTTTATATTAACTTTATTTTTTATGTTTAACAATTTTGTTAGCTTTTGATTATTTTAATTAAAGGAAATTGAAAAGTAAAATGAGTAAAAAAGTTCAGACTCTATCAAAATTGAAGTTTTCAAAATTCAGTTTCCTTTTTTAAACATTTTTATCATTTACCATATAAATCAATCATGAATCTTACAATCATAAACCTTCATCGTAATCATTCATATGTTCATTCATCAACATTAACACTTTTTCTTTAAAATATTACTCAATTTCGAAATTTTAAAGAGTTTCTTCAGTTTTTGGTGGAACCGAATTTTTAATTTTTTTTCCTCAAAATAAATCTTGAAACTGGAAAATATCAAAATTCACTAATCACAAATTTCACTATTTGATTTAGTTATTCATTTTAAAGGCAATATATAAGTTTGATTTTTTGATTATGTAAAAGACTTTTTTCAGTTTCTTTATATCTACGCTGTGTGTGATATTTTTTAAATAAAAAAAAATATAAATTGTTAATTTTTAAGAAATGAAATGCTCAGTAAAATGTCAATTGAAAATGGCATTTAAAAAATAACTTTTTTTGAAACCTAGTTTAGATTTAACTTTTAAGAGAAATAGAAATGTTTTTGAGCCAATTAGCTCACAAATAAAATTTACAATCTGTTTTCGCACGACACAATCATTCAAAGAATTTATTAATTTCTTATTTTAATTCAAATGATTTTTTATTATGATTTACATTTTATTATTTTAAAAGATTATAAAAATCCATCTCACATCAACACATCCCAAATCATGAATCATATTTCACTGTATCCCAAGTCCAAATCTACTAATTGGTACTTAAATTTAATTTATAAAATTTGATGCTTTTAGATTAAAATTGCGAATTTAATGTTTTTTTTGAATCATCTCTAAAATGGTCTTAATATTTGAATTTCATAGAATGTATTGTTAACCAAGTTTGACCAATTTATTCAAAACTTTCAAAGATTCATCATTTAAAATAGACTTCGATGCTTTTTAAAATCAATGTTAGTCGAGCTAAGCTTCATTTGTGTAATAACATATGCAATTGTTTGAATTTTTACTAATCAGCACTTTGCTTTGAATTTAAACTTGATACAGCACTTCTTAAAAAGTTCAAATTTAATTCAAATTCATTTTTAAAATTTAATTCTTCACAACTTAAATTCTTAGATAAAGCATTGTGTTTAATTGCAAATTAAATAATTCTTTTCTTTTTGCAAATTTAATGTTTCATTTAATTGGCTTGTAGAACTCAAAATTAATCTTTTTTATCAGAATTTCTTTTCCTAATTCACAAGTTTCATTAACCTTTTCACAATTTTTTCTAAAACTTACTTTAAACTTAATAATTATAATTTCAACTTTTTAAAGAAGATTTTTATTTTTAATTTTAATTTTCATTTTTACGAATTTATTTGTTTATTTTTCAAATTTTTATTTTATGTTTGCAGGCGACGATGATTTATTAAATTTAATACAAATAGAAGCGAATACTTTAGTTGATACGGTTTTAGATGAAAGTGTATCAATTGTTAAAAATTCAAACATCAATCAATCATCATTTAATCCTCCCAAATCATCATCTCATGACATTGATTATGACGATAATGATAATGATGAAGATGATCAGCAACAAGAACAATTTAACCGTGAAGTGTCGTGTGAAGAAAATAGTTTTGAACAACCACAACCACCGTCTCAATTGCCATTAATAAATATTAATGATAATCTTATTTCGAATAATAATAATAATAATAACAATAATTCTTTTTATTATGAACATGGATCCGATGAGATAAGTGAAAACTTTGCAATAAAAAGCGATTATGACATAATTGTAAAATCTCCCACTATCGAGAGTATGTCGGGTAAATCCTTTGAAGATAATGATGATGATATGAACTATACAGCAAATAGTGCGATTAATGATATTAGCTTAGATAATGTTAGCGCATTACATAGTTATGATAATAATACAGCAACAAATATTACACCGACAACTTCTGCGATTAGTTCAGATAAAACGTTCATTGAGTACATTGTTAAAAATGAAATAGACAAAGAAGAAGAATTAGGAAGTGTTAGTGACGATGAGAATATTGAAGAAATTGTTCAAGTTGAGGCTCAAAAATTGGTCGATGAAGTTTTACAAGAAAGTCTTCAAATTATCAATCAAAATGATCAAATTTCCAAAAATTTCTCTTTTGTTACATTTGCACAAAGTGTTGATAATGAAAACGATTTGATTGAACATGACGACGATCTTTTTGAAGAACTTTCAAATGACGATCCTGCAATTGTAAGAAACATTGATGAACATAAACTGCATCGCGTTGAGCGTAAATTTGAGCACTTATCATCCGAGGTCCGCGATGATGATCCAGCAACACTTGACGATCTTGTTAATAAAGATGACATTTCATTGTTGCAAACAGAATTTTCAAAAATCAGTTGGGATGAAAGCTTATCGGCAGCAACCGGCGATTTAGCTTCAAGTACACCTGATAATGATTTGCACGATCCTCTCAATATTCCAGGTGATACACTTAGTCATCAACACAATAAATAGATTCAAAATTAAATTTTCAAACCATTTATTAAAGCAAAAAACTGTAATTTTTAATATTTTTGGCAACAAAAATTATCTTAGTTGAAAAATTAAACTAAAGCACTTGTGTGCTGAATTTATTGTGTCGCAATTCACTCATAAAATGGCCTTATAGTTTCTTCTTCTTTGTATTCATTGAAAGTATTAACGTATTGTATTCGTAATGAATTTTATGTTTTCATTTTCGTTATTTTTATAATTACAAAAGTGTCCAGAATGTTAAAATATTAACAACTATTTTCAAATAGATTTTATTTTAATATTTAAAAAAGAAATAAGAATGTGTAAAATCTAAAAGTTTCAATGTTTTCAAATGTTTAAACAAATTATTTTTATCTCTAAAGTAGGAAGAATTTCAAGGAGGTTGATAACACTTTATCTCTTAAATGAACGGAAACTAATATTTGGTGCAGTATATTATCGTCAAAAAAAAAAGAAATTGAATAAAATTCATTCAATGTTAAATTAAGTTTTCTTTAACACAAAAAAAAACTATTATCTTCTATCTATCTGTGTATGAGAATTCAAACAAGAAACTATAATTTATAAAAAAATGAAAACAATTTGATTTGTTGTTGTTTAAATGTCAATTTATACAATTTTAATTTTTGATTTTTTGAAGATTTTTCTTCACAAACTTCCTTTTTTTATTGTGTATAAATTTTCCTCTCATTGTTTAATCTCCTTTAGAGTTTTCTGACTAGAAATAGAAAAAAAAAGTTTTGAGCTCTTTAAAGTTGTCCTTGTTAATAAACTCATTCATTCACAATTGGCATAAAATCAGGATTTTAAAGAAATTGCAAAATTTAGGAGGAACTAAAATTAAAACGAGCGAAAAAAAATGGTAACAAGTTATATGATTCACACACAGCATGATTACTATAAAACTTTATTTCATATTATTTTCATATAAAATTTTTAACATTTGCTATTTAAATATTATAAAATTAGTGGACATTCTAAATATCACTAAAGTCCATTGAAAGATTTTTTTATTTGAACTGGAAATTAATTTTCATTCAATCAAAAAATATTCTTTCATTTTTATTATTTTGTTCAATTTATTTTAAGATGATTTGTAAATTATCCATGTTGTTTCAAAATATATTGTATAATTTCAAAATATATTTAAATTTTTTTTGTAGTTTTATTATGGTTTTTATTACATTACTTCCATTATTATTTTACAGTAACTTCTCTTAGTTTCATGTAAGAATTTTTTTAATTTGAATATTTGCAAATTTTCTTCTCTTATGTTTATTTGTTATTTTCGTTTCACCGAACTTTCATTCTAGAGTTACAAAGTCATCAAACAAGCACATCAACAGAAGCAAGACAATTACCTAAGCCAACACCACGATTGAATAAATCATCAACGAATGATACTTACAATTCTTCATTATCATCAAATGTTGATGACAGCTCAACATCAAGTGCAAGTCACACATTGAAATCTGATATTGAGTCTGAAATCTCTGATGTGGCAAAAACTGAAGATTTTAAACAGAAAAAACAATTTTGGGAGAATTTTGATCATCCAATTATGCCAGTTCCAATGCCACGACCAAGAATTGCAAAATCTCAAAGAGATTCAAAAGATTCATTTGAAACAGAAACAAGTAGTTTACGTTCTTCAAAAGAGATATCAAGAGATGAAGAAGAACGTTTGGAAGATCAGAGTTTTCCAATAACTGATCGATATGATTCAGATGTCTCGGATAAGGCAGTTATTGTTTCGACTCAAAAGAAAGTTCTTATTACTGATATGGATAAGATTGATTCTATTGAAACTTCAGAATTGGGTGATGATGGTTTAGCAAAGTTCTACATTGGAGAATCAAGTACGAATGTTATTAGAAAGAGTGCAAATGAAAAGAGAGCAGAATTTGCATTTGATAATCAAGGATATGAATATTCGATTGATACTGATGAAACTAAAAAACATCAAAAACGAGATGCAGATGATTTCATTAATCAAGATATAGAAATTTATGATGATTCATTATTAAGTAAAGATTCAAAAGAAGCTAATTTGGCACGTTCAATGGGAGATGAAATGGACTCAAAAATGGATTTAATTTTGGATGAAAAAAGTGAATTTGAAATGTCTGAAAAGCTTTCAAGACAACAATCAGAAGAAATGGATCCAATTGCAGTTCGACCACAAGTTATTCATTCACCAATTAAAAATGTGACAATTTTAGAAATGGAGAAGCCTTTAGAAATCGCTGAGCAGCATATCACTGTTGCAAAAGCTAGTGCTGTTGAAGTATTAAAAGATTTTTCTGAGCCAAAAAAACCAATAAAATTGGAAACAATACCTGATCTCCAAATGTCAAAAGAAAGCCTTCGACTTGATACGGCTAATAAGAAAACAGAAGAAGAAATTGAAAAAACTTTAGAGGAAGTTGAAGATTCATTATCTGCTGTTCAGGATGAGTTGATTGGGGTTGTAAAGGATGGAAAATTAATAAATCAATCTCCAAGTGAGTTTGAAATAAAAATACTTCCTGACTTAAAATACCCAGCAAGCATTCCAGAACAAGAAGAACTTCCAGACACACCAAAAAAGGAACCATTCATTAAAATTAAAGAACCAGAAAAATATGAAAAGCCAAAACAATCAGAAACGGAAGAATCTCAACAATCATCAAATGAGGATTCCTTTAACAAATTGGACGTAGCTTATCGACAAAAATCTAAATCAAGTTCAAACCGATGGTCAGCGACAGACATTGAGTCAAGTTCCGAAAGTCATTATCAAAGTTTTGAGAAATCAGATAGTCGACCATTATCGTCTGACGTTGAAAATCAAGCACCTTATCAGTCATCTGAATATGAAACAGCTCATGGACAATCGATTGTATCAGGATCTACATTAGACTATCAAAGTGCTGTAAGTACGCTTAATTCACGAGATAGCATGAAAAGTCTAGATTCTGAAAGTTCAGGGAATTTAGCAAGTATTGAGACATCGGAAGCATCAGAAACTCTTGTTCCAAGTACAATGGATGAATGTGATGAAGCTCTCCTTACTGATATTATTGCACAGGAGTTGGAATCAGATGATAAGGATAGATTTACAAGTTTAGAATCAGAAGGAGTCACAAAGAGTGAAGACGATAGTTCTGCTGCAGTTCATCCTAGCATGAAAAGATCACATGAAATGACATTTACCGAATGCGCTGATCCAATTGCAAAGTTCGAAGAAACTTTAGGAAAAAGTGTCGAAGATTTAAAATATGGAAGTTGGGAAGAACCTAGATTTGGATCAAGTTTAGAGGAAGGTAGTATGCTATCAGTTTCAATATCAAGTGCATCAAACCTTGAGACAATGGTTGAAATTCATTCAGATCATGCAGACCAATTGATGGGATCATTAGTTGGCAGTTATGATAGTGCAAAAATATTTACATCATTTACTGATGATGCCGTTGGTTCAACTCCACCGGAATTTGAGAGAATTGAAAGCAGAGTAATGACATCAGTTCAGGAAGACGATGCAAGTACTCAAATGCAATCGACTGACGAAACTGAACCAATGAAAAAACGTGGACACAAAAGAACAGACAGCACAAGTGTCTTTGCAAGCGGTTTCGTAAAAGCTGAAAGTAAGGAGTCAGGTTCTGATTCATTTGAAGAAGATATAATTGGACAAGAGGATTCATCAGATGTCATATCATCTGAAAAGGATGAAACTCATGGGGAGTCATCAGATTCTGAATATGACAGATATGAATCGGAATATGCTAGAGCCTATCGATTACCAATTTCATCTCAATCAAAATCAAAAGGAAAGGAAAAGTCAGCTGACACATTAGACGAGAAAAAGTTCTCATCTCCAGGTCACTCAATAATTGAAACAATCGTTGAAGATGTTCATGCAGAAACAGAACAAAGTAGCGATCATGTAACTGGCACTAAAAAGCTACAAGATTATGAAATTCCTGATATTGAAGTCACACAGGATATAACTTTAAATGAAGATGAAATTACTTTAGATGTGACTGAAAAAGCAGCACAAAATATTCAGTATGCTAAACAAGTTGAGTATAAAATGTCTGAAGAAGAGTATCAGGAACTTCTTGATAAAAAATATGCATCAAGACTTGCTGACTTAACAAAGACATATGATGATAATATTTATGATGAACAACAACCATCACCCGCTGGAAGTGATTCATTTGAGATGCTTAATGAACCAGACATTTCCGATGAGTTTGTAATAGTTGAGGAAGTTGCAAAAGAAGCACATGAATTCGATCAGGAAGGAAAAAGTGTATCAATTCAGAGCAAAAAATACATTACAAAGCATGATGAAGAAATGGAAAAATATGTTGTCAGATCAGCCCCTGCTGCCACTGATGCAGGCTCATTTGCTACTGGATTTGAATTTGAAGAGTCACCACCACAAGATGATGATAATGGTGAGGAGCCATTACGAGGAAATGGATATTCATTAGAAGGACGAAAAGGATGGGTCGAGATGAATCTATCAGATCCAGCAAATTTAAGATATCCATATGAAATAGACTCAAGAGGTGTTCTTGAGGATATTAAAGAAGAAGATACAGATTTTGAAGTAGGAAGTAGTCGAATAAGTAGCTTCAAGGATTCATACTCCAGCACACCAGATTATGATGCACTTGTTAGACGAATTCAATCACGCGAACATGACAATTTATCAATGAATAGTTTACAGGAATTTGAAAGTTTAGAAAGAGTCATTTCTCTTGAAAATCGACAAAAACATTCACAAAGTTCTCAGGAATCGCTTAGCAATGGAAGTTACCCAAAACGAGAAGTTGCAAAAAGTATTCATGGTGATGATATAAGTTTGTCAAGCTTAAAAGAATTTGAAGGATTAGAAAATGCATGCATAGAAGCACATTTAATAGAAATCAGGGCAAAGGAAGAAGCTGCATTGCTTCTCTCACGATCAGATGATTCAAATAAATCTTCAGGAAGCTCAAGTGGAGCGAAATCTAGCCCTAAGACAGCTTCTTCATCACCAGGAGGCACTAAAGTTCAACAGCAGGTCACAACATCCATAACAACATCGACTGTTGTTAAAGGAAAGCAGACTAGCTCATTAGAACAGCAAATGGCACATGAATTTCAAAAGCTTCAACAAAGAGCACAAGAAATAATGGAAGATAAAAGTATTAGTATTATGGAAACATCCACAGATAGCTTGGAAGATAAGGCACCAAGACAAATTTATGATAGATCATCTTCACAACATGTTAGCAGTGATAGTTTGGATAAAGATTTAAAAAGTGCTGATCCAATGACAAGCAGTGTAGATTCTATCGAAATGTCACGTGGTGGAGGTGAACGTACAGGAAAGTCATCAGATGTGGATTCAATTGAACAAACTTCACCAATCAAAAGGCGAAGTGATAGTATTGACTCGATAGAAATGCTAATTGCTGCAAATTCCTCAGGAAAAATGGATAGAGATAGTTTTGATGATGTATTGAACTTTGAATCAAATTCTGGATCATCAAGCAGTAAGAAAACCACAACAAAAACAATTACATCTACTGGAGTAGATGGTCAATCAGTTACAACAACAGTAACCTCCACTACAGTACGTTATGATATGCCACAGCACAAGGATATATCAAACGATTCTCTTAACGCACGTACAGAACCAGATATGTTATTGACAAGCACAGAAAGTCTGACAAGTTCAACTGCTACAAATGCGACTTATCAAAATGAAACAGATTCACAAATGTCTGGAAGTATTACAAGCTGTGGATCAACAACAATGATTGAAATGGATCCGACAACGTCATTCTTTTCACCATCATCATCCACACATCATATTACAAGCACCACAACAACCACATACTCGTATCATGATAGTGACTTGCCTGATGATGATTTTAAGCCAATTACTTTTACTGTTAAGAAATCAAATCAGTAAAAAACTTTCCAAATGTAATTTTGAAAACACAAAAAGTATTATAATCATTCCTCTATCTATTTCTGGCTGATTCTGTAATATCCAATAGAGCCCATTACATTTTTGCAGGTAGATTACAATCTATATAAGATTATCACCATTTTTTTTTTCTTTTAAACTACATTATTTATTTTTGACGTAAACATACCAATATTATAATATTGTATCCTTTGAATTATTAATAGTAATGCATTATAAACTTTAGATGTCACTTTTTGGAGAATGAAATAATCTAAATTAGATAAAACATGAAAGAGCTCAAAACTATTTATTCTTGTTCTACTTACTCTTGTGAATGTTTATGCTTGACATTAATGATAATCAATAGTCGTTATAATCCTGTCTGTCTGTTTGTTTGTACGATGAATCGGTTTGATAATTGAATCGTAAAGAATGATTACTTTACTAGAATCTATTGAAACTAGTTGAATATGAAGTGAATAGCCCGACCTAAGTTACCGGATATTCAAAAAGATTAGTTTTGAACAAGCTTAAAGCAATTCTTTATTCATAAAGACTAGCTCAAAGCTTGTTAAACATCAATAATGCGAAACTTTTTGATGGTTTCAATTAATTTCGCACCGTTTGCTGAAAGCTTCCTTTTTAAGGATCTGGTTTCCTGAGAGAGTTTAAAGTTGAATTGAATTTTGAGATATTGAGATATTCATTCGAAATTCAAGATGACTTCAAACTCTTGTAAAGAGTCATTCATTTATGACGTCCATTATTTATGGGAGAGAGAAAATGTTCTTGCAATGTAGAGTTAGATCAGTGCTTGATGATACAAGGAATATTCAGACTATGTTCTTAGATAGTTTGGGAAATGGACGTTATAAGTGAACGAAACTTAATTACAAATTTATAATTTTTTTAAAGTATTTAAATCTGCTTTGTAGCCCTTTTTTGGTAACCACTAGGATGTGAAATGATTTGTTGAGGAACATAAGGCTTGATTCAATTTGTAAAAGCTACAATTTAATAAGTTTTCAAAAATGCTAGCTAATGATAGTTGAATCCTAACTCAAGGGCTATTTTTGTTTTCTTAATTAAAGCTTCTCAATTTTTTGAAATAACTTATAGCTATGGTTTGAGATTTTAAAGTTGTATATTCAATTATTTTTATTAAAAATGCATTTTAAAGTAAATCTTAATGAAATTTCTAATCAAAAATCTTTTCTTATCAATCAAAAAAGTTGTTGAAATTCAAGAGTCTATTTTTCGGTCATGTGATTGAGGTTGCGGATTGTAGATTCAAAATATTCTTCATGAAAAATAAAAGATTAGTTTTTAGTTTTTAAACTTCAGTTTCATTTTCATTTTACATCCTTGATCTTTCGCAAATTTTGTTACGCGCACTGTTTCAATAAACGAGAACCGAAATATTTTCTTCTTATCACTTTTTAATTTATTTTAATGCATGACATGTCCATTTATTTCAATGTCTATATGTCATTACCTATAACAAGATATAAATTAACTTTTCATTCACACACGTACATTTATTAATCAAATGAAAATATTTTTAAAATTTTAAAAAATGTCTAATATTATTTTTATTGTTAATTTTCAATCATTTAAAAAAGCCGAGGAATCTGGATATGAAAAGGAAAAGCTACAAAGCGTAAGTTTTTATAAACTTTCAAAAATTTATAAAATTCAAATCTTTTTTTAAAATTCCAGAAAACAACAGAAAAAGAGGATTAAACTTGAAACCAAGATGATTTTTTTGCATTCAGGAGATAAAGCAAGCAACAAAATATTTCAAAATTGATATTTAAACATTGTCACTCATCATGAGAAAGAAATATTATAAATTAACAATATTATTATATTTGCTTTTAATACCAATATAAACATATAGCTGATTCATAATTTTTAAGGCTCAATGTGTTTATCCCTGTGCTATGATAAAAAATAATTAATTATTCGCTTCCATTGGAATGGACAGTCAAAAAAAAAATGAATTGGGAAATTGTGAAATTTTCATTATGACGGCTTTTGTGCTTTGAACCAATTTTTAAAAATGAATTAAAACTTTTAAAAATAAAAAAATACTATTCAATGAAAATTCCCATTAAAATGTTTAGAAACAATGATGATTTATAAAAAATAATACAATGCTACTATTTGTCAAAAGTAATAACAAGAGAATCAAAGCTATTAATGTCCCCTTGCTTTTTTTTTTGAAATTTGCAAAAGCAAAAAATATAAAAAAAAAATTGATTTAAAATCATTTTTAAATTTTTCTTTATACTTGATTGTTCTAATTGAAAATTGGACGTATTATTAAAATCCAATATTTATTTACTCCATGCTTATAAAGTTCTTTATAACGCATGTTATGCGAGAGAATGTTTGAAAGTTCATAAAGTTGAATCAAGAATTGTATTTTTAAAGTATTGGAAACTTAATTTTTGTTTCATTATTAAATTCATAATACATAATACAATATTCTTATTGATATGATATGAAGACTATGCTAAATCCCGCTAAAACGTTTTGCGTTAAATAAAAGATATTGCTTAGTAAAAGACACTAAATTCTTCAAAAAGAAATCGAGTTTTAATTTTTTCAATTATTTCAATTTTAAATTTTCAGTTTTCGATATTTTAGATAAAACATGTGTTGGAATGCGAAAGGAGCTTTTTAACTGGAAATATCTTGATCATTAACATTTGCAGTTAAAAAACCGGTTGCATAAAATTCAGTTCAAATTTAAAAAGTTAATTTTGTTTTGAATTTTAAGATTCACGAGTCTGATAAAATTGCCAATTAAATCCGGAGCCTGACAATTAAACATGCCATTTTTTAACTCATAGGATTTTGTAGAATGCTTTAAGACAGCTCAAAATAGAAATTTGGAATATGTTCAAAAATTTATAAAAACCGTTATTTTTTTCTTCAAATTCACAACATTTACTAAACACACATAAATTTTTTGTACTGAACGCACTCCAAAAAGTGATAAAAAACGAAAATAATTTTATGAAATAATTTTTGCTGATTCTGGCGTAAGTGATTGAAAATAATAGTTTAGAAACAGATATAAGCGACGAGAAGAGGATAATTGACAGGATTAAACTTAATTGACGTGCATAAGTAGTGTAAGTTTTGTAAAAAGATACAAAATTTAAAGCGTTCTTTTTTCTCTGTAAAGCTGAATATGGGCAATTCTCCAGATAAGTTTTTCAAAAAATCATCCGGAGAATTGATTTTTCTCGAAAATTTTCCATTACCAAGCATTAGTTTTACATTTAAATCGATGTAACATGGCAAAAACTATTATATTTCATCTATTTTAGTCTTTGAAAGTAACCATTAATTAAGTTATTTCAATTTTTTGTCAAAATTACTGTCAGCAAAAAATGGAATAATCATCCGGAGAATCGAAAATTGAAGAAAAGTAAACACTCATTTTTTATTATGATTATGCAGAAATGTAGTTTTTGAGCTAATCTATCTAACCATAATCATATCACACTCCAATAATTACTATTTAAAGAGAATTTTTGATTCTTCGGTGGATTTTTTTGCTGACAGTAAAAAAATTAAGCTTTTATTTTGCAAATCCATGAAAAAAATGCAAAGCAAATATTTCATAAAAATTAAATTTTAGTCTTAATTTAACACTTCATGGTTGAATTATTGTTGATTCAGTTAGAATCAATCGTAATAAACAGTTTAAAGTTGCTTTAAGCAATCAAAACAAAGAAATTGACAAGATATTTACAAAAAAAAAATTGAAAGTAAACAGTAAATGACTTTGGATTATAAAAGCTCTTTTTTCAAAAACTCAACTCATCTGGAGAATTGCCCATATATAAGATGACTAATTGTACGCTTTTAATCCTCACTGGATCTTCAAAATACCACAAAATATCAATCAATATGTGCATTTAACTAATTATATGAGTGATAAGAGAGAAACGAATCGAAAGTAATGTGGGAATTAGAGAAAAAGTGAAAAAATAAAGCCCTCATAAATAAATATGATAAAATGAAGAAAGAAAGAAATGCATGTAATGGAATCAAGTGAGGAACAGTAAGGGAAAAATTCCAAAAAATTAGTTCACTTAGTGAATGCTTCGTCAATTGTTTTTTATATAATTTTACGGCATAAATTAACATTTTTTTGTGTGTAATATTGAATTCATTCTGTTAGGAGCGGGCGGCATGATACAGAAGAACAGCACAGAAAAAAAGTAATGGAAATAGCATAGAGTATTTTAGGGCGTGTGAGGCAATAATGTTTCGATTCGACAGCAATTTTCATATACATATTAAATAAGATTCACTTCCGGTTATGTTGGATGACAAATTCGATGCATGCACAAACTTCTTTATCCTTTCGACACATCCAGATGATTCTCTTCTTCTCGTTTCTTTGTGTTTTTGTAACGAGTGACATCATCAATACTTTAGTTTGCCTTAATTTAGCTAGTTTTGTTTGCAATCACATATGTACAAATATGTGCGACCAACAGAAGTTTTATACCTACATCAAAAATATTATAGTAATAATAAGTATTACAACAGCAAATTCTTTTTCTCATATTTACTTCTAGGCGTGTAATACTTTGTATACACACATTTGGAAAAAAAAGTCGTCGAGTTGCGAGAGTGATTAAGTGATTGGCAATTTTAGACAAGAGAGAGTGAGAACGCTTGCTTAAAGTGGCTTTAAGCAATTGCCGGAAGTCTTGTACGGTGCATAAATAAGAGTTGTGATTCATAATTCTCATAAAAGGAACTAAATTGCCATAAAAGGCAATTCTTAGTGACGTTTGCCTCAACATTTTGTGACTCATCTTCGCTTCATTCAATTCTGAATCGGCAAAAGGAAAATCGCACACGGCGAAATTCTTTCGATTCAGATTGCAACGTGAGGGATCAAATTTTTAATTCATCTCACGCCTTTGTATCATTTTTAAGTGAAATCTTATTCCCAATCAATTGTCCGTCCTAGCACTAGAAAAAGTGCAAGGCGAAATTCTTTCTGCGGCTGCCAAGGAACACTTAAAAATCTGCCAAAATTTCGAGAATGCGTGAATACAAAATTGTTATCCTCGGAAGTGGAGGGGTTGGAAAAAGTGCCCTAACAGTTCAATTCGTTCAGGTAAGCTATTAACTTTAAGGAGTCTTTAATTAAACTTATTAACGACTAGTGGTTACGGGCCCGTAACAAGCCCCCTTCAGTGTAAAACCAAAACCCTCTAAAAACTCTCCATAAAAATAATAAAAAATATTTTTTTTGAGACAAAGGTTTTTCAATTCTAAGAAAAGTTTAATTCCAACCTTCAGAACCGTACAATTTCCTTCTATTTCGTGATGCATACGGCTACAATCAAAACTCTGTAATGTAATTCCCGTGCAATTTGCATAAAAAGTCTCTATTCACAAACAGAAACTCAATACGAAGAAAAAGAAAATTGGTCAAAAAATATTTCAGTTGAAACCCTACAAATTATTTCTATGCTCACAATCTATTGCATGGGCAATTCCATGGATGAGTGGAATTTATCAAAAATGAGTTGTTTATTCTTCTCGAACTTGATGGTTCAAAATTTTTTAAATGTATTTTAACTAAATATTAGCTTGGCAAAAACTAATTTAACATCCACATTATCAACTATATTTATGTAAATAAAAAACATTCTAATCAGGCAATGGGTTGTTAATTACAGTATATTTTGCTTTTTTAAAAATCATTTTCTCACGGATTTGGAAAATAAATGCTTTGAGGTCGATCTATTTCAATTATTGAATTACAATTTTTCATTTTTCTACTAAATCACTGTGTTTTAAGTCGATATAAGTATATAGGGTCATAAATGAAGACAGAATACACATTATACTGACAATGAGTACTTGTCTATATATCTAGAAAGTGTAAAGTTCTTGCTTAAAAAATCAGAATTCCACTTTTTGAAATAGGGCGACCGTCACAAAAATCCAAATATTTCGTTAATTAAAGCATGTAGAAGTAAGAAAAGAAGATATTTAAGTAGAATTCATCGATTTACATACTCATATCTAGTTGTTGGATTGTCCAGATGGCTTATTTTTGAGAAAAAATAGTTTACAGTCGAAATTTTTACAAAATCACATCCGTGGAATTGCCCACATCCCTAATCATACTTGTAATAGCTTTAAAATCGTTCCTGATGAGAAAAAAAACATAGTTGAAATCGAGAATTGTAAAAAAGGATAAAGTTTTAATTTTTGTATGAAATTACATACTTCATAAATGCAAAAAACCAGCTCGGTTGAAAGTCATTGAGTTTTAACCGAAATCTTCTAAAAGTTTTCTCAGAATCTTGGGGAAAAAATTTAAAAATTCATCAAGCACTCAAAACAGTTCCAAGGAATCTATGTCCAATTTTTACAAAAGTGAAAAAATGTTTTTGGAATGCAAACGAAAGAGAAAAGTAATGTTAAGCTTGTTTCCAAGAGAATGTAAAACTCTCACGTTCTGAATTTGTTTCGTTTGCTTTTCATCTTATTTTCCTATACATCACATATCTCAGTCATGAGGAAGAAATTTAGAGAAGCTCATAAAAAACAGCAATAAGTGTTATACTTGTTTCCTCTTATCAATTTTTAATTTTCCAATTGCTATCAATAAATTACTCAGTATGTTGGCATATGGCATATTGATACTTCTTTCATGTGATTGAACTTTATACTCTTTTTATGCATTTGCAATAATATAAAGCCAATCAAGTCCACTTGATTGATGTACGCATATCTCTAGTCTGATAAGATTATTAAGCAAGATTTTATGAACTTATTTTAGGGTATTTTCGTTGAGAAATATGACCCGACAATAGAAGACTCGTACAGAAAGCAGGTGGAAGTAGATGGTCAACAATGCATGCTTGAGATTCTTGACACAGCTGGAACAGAGCAGTTTACAGCCATGAGAGATTTATACATGAAAAATGGACAGGGTTTCATCTTGGTATATTCAATAACAGCGCAATCAACATTCAATGACTTACAAGATCTACGGGAACAAATTTTGAGGGTTAAGGTAAGTTGTTATGCTTCATTGATTTAATGTTTCTCGTGGGAATCGAACTCTTCAGGCCACAGAGATTAATTTTTCAATCCTAATAAGCTAGTAATTAATTAATAATAATTTGCTAATCATAAAGGACACTGATGATGTTCCAATGGTTTTGGTTGGCAACAAATGTGATTTGGAAGATGAGAGAGTAGTGGGAAAGGAGCTAGGCAAACAGCTTGCACAACAATTTAATTGCTCGTTCATGGAGACATCCGCCAAAGCAAAAATTAACGTTAATGATGTAAGTAAATGTAATTGAAATCAATTAACGCACCAATCTCACCTTTCCCTTTCTTCCATTCATGCTTAAAAAATCTTAACTTATTTTAGATATTCAATGATTTAGTTCAGCAAATAAACAAGAAATCACCGGAAAAGAAGCAGAGCAAGAAGAAAAAATCATTATGCACTTTGCTATAAAGTAAATATATGTATGAAACAACAAAACAGTAACATCAACAACAACAATAAAAATCATGATGAGCAGAAAGAAACAAGACGAAAAAAATACATTTTTTTTTCGCGAAAGCGCTTTAAACATGAGCATTAAAACACATACACACACATTACACACTTATAAATATATGAGAAAAAAAAATTACATTACATTCTATTTTAAAAAAAAAAGTTGAAAGAAACTTAAGTGGGCAAAAAAAGAAGTTTATTTGCTAGATAGATTTTTGTTGAAAAAGAGTAAAAAAACGCAGAAACGTGTCGACGACAAGCAAATAGAAATGTGTCAACATTATACATATATATTTTTCCATTATTTTAAAAACTATTCTATGTAAAGATCCTTTTAGTATCTCCTCGCCTTTTTCTACTACTTATATTGTGGACATCCTTCATCCAAAATTGCATGAAAAGTTGTTTATCTTTTTATATAAAAAAAAATTTATAAAGTTCAATTCAAGATTTTTTTTTGTTTTTGTAAAGTCATGTGTCGTTGATAAGATAAAATAATAAAATTCCCGACAACAATTTATGACGAGAGATAATAAACTTGATTATGGTCGATGATATCAAAACACGTTTGCTAATTAGACGGAATTGCTTATGTTTTATTTCAAAAACTTCTTAACTTTGCCTTTTTCATAATTCAAACATTAATTTCGTATTGTTTGCACATATTACAATCAACATACTAGAGTACAGTGGTTCTCAAACTAAGCAGCTCGGTAGGTGGTACACTAATCGCCATTTTGAACAGTCAACGGAACATGTGATTCCCAAAATTTCCTAATTTTGAATTTAGAGATTGCTGGCTTAATCGGAGGGGGGGTCATAACAAGAGTTCGTTCAATAATGATGTCCACAAGCGGCATAGTCAGGAATTTGAAACAAGTGAAATTTCACGTGGGGGGGGGGGGGGGGGTCAGCAAGAAAAATAATAGAAATATCTGGAAATCCGGAACGTTTTTGAAAAATGATCGTTAATTTCGGACGTCATTAGTGAACGACCCCGAATAAAACCCATGAAAAATAAGATTTGTATTCCCTCCCCCCAATAATAATAATAATGTGAGAGGGTTCCAGCCGAGCGATGTGTTGCTACACGTTGCGACGAGCCGGAGGCACTGCGATCCTGATCGATGATAGAATCTTTTGTACCGTTAACCCTCCCCCCAAAGTTAAGCATCATTTATTTGGAACGACTACTAGAAGTTTTGCCGCAAAAAAAAAAAAGGAAGTGCCGTGGCATAAAGGTTGACAACCACTGACATAGATGATCCACTCCTAAAATTTTCAAATTTTCTTTTTTGGTTGTTCTTAATCAAATGTGCCAGCTTATTAATAAGTATATCTTTCAGTCTCAGTCTTGTGAGACAATCATGCATCCTCAGTTCATATTATTTTATTTCACAAATGAAAAATTACCAAGAATTTGTCATTCTCCAAACAATAAAGCAGATAAAAATTTAAAAACAAAATATAAAGAATGATGTTCAATATTTTTTTATACCTAAAAAATTGATGATAAAGCTAGTTTAATTTTTTAACTGAACTGTCTCTAAACTTACTTTTAAATATTATATAAACAACATTGATGAAATTTAAAGAAAAAAAAATGCGAAAATGTTCTTTGTAATGTTATTTAATAAATTGATGTTTAATCAAGTCTTTCTTATGTCGCACATGACAATTTCTTTTTTGAAAAGAGATGGCACGTGCTAAACAATTGATTACATTTTAGAATTGAAAAATAAAAGTTTAATTTATGTGGGTTATTTCACATATTACGTAATGCTTTTAAGGAGGTAGAGGGGGGGGGGGGGGGGGCAAAAAGTTAATTAATGTGATGCGCTACGTAATTAGTGAGCGATCCCAAAGATTAAAACTTAATCATTATGGATGAGAATTATGAAAAAAAAATTTAAACCTAATTGTAAAGAGACCTTTTATTTGATGCTTGTTCTTAAACTCCTGAATGAAAATTACAATCGTGCATGTTTTCAAAGATTGAACCAACGTCGTTCGTCGACTTGACTTAAAGCTTTACAATTATTTTCATTTAAAAACATAGATTCGAGATTGCAGGTTTGTTTTTCAACTTATGGAGTTTGGTTGGTTCAACTTTTAAATCTTTCCTACTCCATCCCTGCCATCATTGTTCAATAAAGTTTTTCAATTGTCGATCAGAACTTTAAATTTATCAATTTTTATTTGTTTGCAAATTTGTGATCAAGTTTCACAACTGAAAATTTTTCCTCATCAAAAAAATTGCCTTTTAACATAAGAATTTCTTTTTATCACACGCTTTTATTATTATTTCATTATTTCATGCTTAATTCATATTGAAAGCTATTCAAAAAGAAGAAAAATTATTAGTTTTTAATATTACTGGATTATTTGACTGTCTAAATGCATATTTTATAATTATTATTATTATGGTGAATGCATTTCCTCTGTTTTGTATGTAAAACTAAGTATTTGATAATAGACATGAACCTGATATGAAAGAGAAAAAAAAAAATCATATGGAAATGATGAAAAGTTTATTGAATAAAAACTGCTATTAAAACCTCTAATATGCTATTGGCTTCCTTATTTTTTACATTTTCTTATTATTCGCCAAGGATTCACTAAAATATCTAAAATTGATCAAATATGATCGCAACTGTTCATCAGACTTTTGATTATATTTGATCATTTTTGAACATTTTGATCAGTTTTAAACCCTTGTTCTTATCTTTAGCATTCTTTGTTCTGTTAGATTTTTCTTTTTTGAAATCTTTTATTGCTTCTTTTAAAGGACCATTCGCTAATGACGTCAATCAAAAAATCGATTTTTCGTCCTCTTCTTCTCAGAAAGATGGTTTAGAAACATCCAGTCTAAAAATCCATTTTTTTCTGATTGACATCAAAAGTGAGCGACCCCTCTTCCTAATATCTCTGACAATCTTCTCTATCAAAAATTGTAAGAAACTATTTTACACAACAGCCCAATTTTTACAATCGACGAGACATGAAATCAACTAGCAATCTATTTGATGGCCGATATCTTTGTGTCCTTTAGGGGCTGTTCACTTATTACGTAACGCGAAAAAATGACTTCTTAGACCCCCCCCCCCCCCTCGTAACAAAATTTGTATGAAAAAAAAATTTCCTTGTTTGAACCGTAACAAAATCTTAGACCCCCCCCCCCCCTAAAAGCGTTACGTAATAAGTGAATGGCCCCTTATATATTTCTATAGAATTTGAAAAAATAAATAAATTATGGTAAGATGCAAGAAAGGGAAACAATTAGTAACCTATAAATTATATAAATGATAAAGAATAGAAGTAATGATTCCAACAATAGACATATAACTGATACAAATATAATTAACAATTAAAATTTGAATGAAGAGAACAAAACAAACAAATAAAAAACTTTTTAAAAAACACGCTTTTATCAAAAAGATTAAAAACCAAAAACTTGAAAATAAAATAAGATCACACTTTTAGCGAATCAGGATTTTAAAAGTTTTCTTGTGACATTTAGAAATGTAACATAAATTTTTTTCAAAATATTGTGATTAAGTCCAAGAACACAATGACTCTAAAAGCGTGGGGCTTTAAGATTTGACGCTTCTCTTACTTAAGAACTTAGCTGAATTAAGAAATTATTCTTAAATTACGCCCCACGCTTTTAGAGTCATTGTGTTCTTGGACTTAATCACAATATTTTGAAAAAAATTTATGTTACATTTCTAGATGTCACAAGAAAACTTTTAAAATCCTGATTCGCTAAAAGTGTGATCTTATTTTATTTTCAAGTTTTTGGTTTTTAATCTTTTTGATAAAAGCGTGTTTTTTAAAAAGTTTTTTTTAACATATTTTTATTTGCTCCTTTTTTGGTCGCTTGGTTTTTATTCTTAACAACAGACTTAACTTCAAGAAAAAAAATGTTATTTGTTTTTTAGTCTTCGGGTAAAAAAGCGTGTTTTTTAAAAAGTTTTTTTTAACGTTTTTTTATTTGCTACTTTTTAGTCTCAATCTTTTAATCGAATTTCGACCTCAACAATTCAAATTATAGATTACAGTAGGTTCATAGGTTACAGGTGTGTTGAACTTCACTTCGTTTCACTCCGTTTTGTTCAACTGTTAATATATTCCCAGTTTTTAATGGGTAATTAGTAACGACTGTCAAAATTTTATATTCGTTTTTATAATTTAAGTCATACCTGGAAACACATAAAACTCTTCAAAAAAATGTCCTGAACTTCAATTATGTGCGTTTTCTGTGTTTTTTAAAACATTCATTAGTAAAGTACATTTAAAATCACTCGTAAAGATTTCTACTTCATAACGTGTAGATTCTTAACATAAAGATGCAAATCAACTATATAACGCATTTATAACGGATTTTTCAAATTTAATTTCAATGAATGTCATTTATATGTTATGCAAAAATACGTCAAGCCGTTAATATATAGAAAAGTCAATTTAATTAAATTGGTGAAGTGTTATGAACAATTTAATACATTAAAAACAGCATAAATTTATGCTTAAACTATGCCTGCTAAATGCACATCGCATATTAATAGTTATTTTGCATTAATTCGTAACGGAAAAAGTTTCAAGCCCCGCGCACAAAAACGTGGAAAATTTTTCATTAAATTAATTAAAGTGTCCAAGTCGTTATTAGTTGAGAAAAACTCTTTATTAAGTGCCAAGGGTTGTGTTTTCCTCAAGGACAATGAGGAAAGCCAAAAGAAAGCAAGATTTGTCGCCAAAAATTGATTTGAACGAAAGTTTAATTAAATCTAATGAAAATTCCAAGAAGAGGAAGCAATCGCCTCAGAAAGAGGAATCATCGGTTCCAGTCACAACAACAACTTCAGTCAAGCCAATATTTGTGCAATGCAGTCTCAAGGATGTGAGAAAATTAATTTCACTATTGAAATTGCAGGTTATGCCTGCATATAAAATTTCATCATCAAATACAACTCAAGTAATTGTCAAGTCTATTGAGGATAAGGCCTCAATAATAAACCTTCTGCGGTCTCAAACTATTCAATTCCACACCTTCTCCGAGAAATCGGAGAAAACAAAGTCATTCGTTCTGAAAGGATTTTACGAAACACCAACGAATGAAGTACTAAGATTACTTCAAGAAGCCAAGGTTTCAGCTGTCAAAGTGACAATTCTCGTCAAGAAGCCCGAGTTCACCTTTTATCTTGTGCATTTTCAAGATGAAAGTGTGAACATCAACGTGCTCAATCATAACCACCGTAACATCGACAACATCATCGTCAAGTGGGAGAACATCAAGAAGGGCAACAAAAGCCCAACGCAGTGCTTCAACTGCCAACGTTGGGGTCACTCATCTCAAAATTGTGGATATAAATTCCGATGCGTCAAGTGCACGGAAGTTCACGGACCAAATCAATGTCAACGATCCACTCGTGATGGAAATGCCAAGTGCATTAATTGCAATGGCGATCATGCTGCCAGTTATAGACTGTGCCCATCGTTCATTTCGTATTCCAAAAGAATCGAAAAGTCAAGAGCCAAACCACAACTCAAAATGCTGCCACAGATATCAAGTCTTTTGGACAGTAACAATTTTCCATCGTTAAGCAAACGACATCAAGTTTCTGCTCATTCACATCCAGTGAATGCTGCAAGTAACTCATCAGCAACATTTAAAGAAGAGATTAATCAGCAACAACTGATCAATAATATCAGTTATGCAGAGAAACTCAACGAAGCAGTAAAGAATGAAAGCCTTTTCAAGAAATTCACAGAAGCTCAAGAACGTCTAAAGAGAATCCCCAACATTGAAGAAGCAATAAATCAGTTCTGCAGTTTCGTAGACGAAGCCGGAAAGATCCCAAAGGATGCACCTCAAGGAACTGCATTTAAAATCATGGTGAAGTATGGCTTCATTGGCTGCCCACCAGCACCGAACAAGCCAGTTCAAAAATAATTTATTAACGTAGTTCATAAGCTTAAAAAAAAGCTTTTTTTTTTTTTTTTCTCGCTCGGCAACTTTTTTTAAACTTTTTATGCCACATTTTCATGATATATGTAAATCTCATTCATCAAAATTAATAATTAATCAAGATATAGTTGAATTAAAGCCATATTCAGGCTGGTGTCAAAATAAGACTCAAAGAAATGTAACTTAAACTACAATAATTCCAAATTTGAAATAAAGAAAGATTTAATTCGTAACGGACTTGTGCTTAACGGTTTTTTTGAAAATTCAAATTTTCACTTACGAATATTCATAAAAAAATTACATGTCAATTTTTTTGTCTTACCAGAATATCTTTAGCTGCTCAAATTTATGGTATAATTAATAATTTGTAATATTAATTAAACTATAATGAATCATATAAATGACTTTAGAGCATCACAAGTATAATATTTAATACAAATCAAAATTTTATATCATTGACATTGGATTTTTTCCCATATAAAAAAGTTTTACATAAATTGTACTATAATTAAGCATTTTTGTGTTTCCAAAGAGTTAAAATATTGTATTGTCACCGGGAATACGTGTGTATACAAAATTTGAGCTCGATTGGAGCAATAGAAGTGGTCGAAAAATCGATTGCAAGATTTGAACGTGACATACAAAGAAACCAACAGAGCAACTCAATAAAAAGCGTGTAATAAAAAACCAGATATTTTCATTGTTGTAGAAAAGTTTAAGCTTTAAAAATTAACAAATAAAAATTATGAAAAATAAAGAAATTTTGAGATTTTATTCAATTTTTTCATCTATAGAATCAGGATATTTTTGACGCCCATCACTATTTAAACAAACATTATCAAACATGACATATCTATTAAAAATATATAACTTTGTCTTCGACAGTTCTGCTTCTCATAGATAACACAATTTATAGACAAGTCTACAATCCAAACAAAGGCAAATTTGCTACAAAGAACATTCAATGTAAAAAGTGAATCTGCTTATTCAACATCAATATAACGTTATCTTCACCTTGTAGATCTGTTGAATTCAAACATATACAAATTAGGAATGTCTCACACATTGATCACGTATTTATGGAAGTGACGATAAAATATACAAAACACAGCTGAATGTTTAGTAAATTAATAGTGTTTAATAAAGTTTTCAAAGTTTAAGTAGCTGCTCTAAAAAATAATCAAAAACCCTAAGAATATTAGAATCTAGTGCTTCAAGACATAGTTTTTAAGGAACAAATCATTCCAAAAGCTACAAACTTACTTCTTAAAATTGATCGGGGCGTGACAAGTCAATTAGTCATAATGAAGAAATTTCTTGTGTGTCGATCAAATCCAAAACATTTTATCGAGAAGTCCAACAAGTCTGATAAACATTTGATAATATACTGTAAAGATCTAAAGACAGTTTTTGAAGCTTGGCATGATCATGTTGATTCTACAGTGAAAAAAATTACAATTAATAATTTTACAGATGATCCAAAACTTTCAATTAATCCTTATGCCTTAATGCCAGAATTAACAGTCAGCACGAGTGTTAAAGAATTAAACTTCAATTGCTACACACATGATTATTGGATGACACTTGTTCTTTCGTTATGTCCCAACGTTCAGGAATTACATTTTCACAAATTAACAAAAGAGAAATTAAAGCATATCGCTGAGAACCTTGAGTTTGTCACACATATTAAGTGCTATTATATTGAAAATGATATTATTGACTTCTACAATGATTTGATTTCGCATAGGAATGATATTAATTCGGAAATAAAAATTAATTAAATTTTAAACTGACCTAGTTGTAATGCTACAATAAATTTTAAATAATCTATAGTTACGAAATTAAGTAAGATGATGCATTTTCGCTTATTAACATCGAACGATGCTTTAAGGTGAGTTCATGAGTATTAACATTTTTCTTTTAAGTATTCATCGTCATATGAATTATTATTATTATTAATGGTTCGTATAAATCAGAAAAATGCTTCAGTTTATTTTTTGACGTTGTGATAAACAGTTCATCAAGAAAAATTAATGATACAGTTGATATTTTATAATCAGTAAGGATTTATTCCATAAAAAGTTTAGATTTCTAAGCCCTCGAAATATTTGTTGCTGGGAATTCGATATAGTGCCCGAATAGCACAAGTCGGTTATTCAATCAGAAATCTGGCAACAAACCAGCATGATGCTGACTTCGATTTGAATCCAGCAACATGCTCGAGTCACGCTAGCTTAGTGCTAGATTTCTATTCGATTAATCGACTTGTGCTGTTCGGGGTGTTGAGCTTGAATCATCATGCTCTAATTAGAAAATTATTGTGCAATAATTACTGTCAGTAAAGTGTTAATTAATAATGAATTCATGGGCAAAGCTAACTTCCAACTTATGTGACACTTATTTTAAGTATTTTCTCTTAAAAAGAACAGTTGGAGTTTTTAGAACGTGTGCACCTAAGATCCCTAAGCATGATTTTTCTTTTTCATTCAAGGACATTCCAATTTAAAACAAGCAGCTATCAGAAAGTCGAAACGATATTATCTTGCATTGACAATGTCGAATTCAAAAATTTCACAATTTTATGTACAAAAAAATATATTTTGTACAGGTGCAACAGGTACGTCAATGTTGCCATTTTTCTTCTAGTTCCTTACATTTTATTTCTTTATTCTTTAATTAAGGCTTTATGGGAAAAGTCCTTGTTGAGAAACTACTGCGGGATTGCGGAGACCTTAACATAATTTATATACTTGTAAGGACTAAGAAAGGAGTTACTCCACAGAAGCGCTATGAAAACTATATAAATGACGTAGGTAAGTGAAATTTTAAATTGAACGATGCAGATAAGACTGGAGGGTCGTTCATAAATTTTGACACCAACCCCCCCTACAAGATCACAAGATTTTAAAAATCAATAGGAGGATCAGAACATCCTGACTTTCTATTAACTGAACATTATTTATGAACGAACCCTAGGGTGGGGAAAAAAATTTCAAAAAAGAACAATTGATTTCTCGGAATTTCTAGTTTTCTTGACCCCCCCCCCCCTGCGTCTTCATAAGTGAACAGCTCCTTAATGAAAAACTCTTAGCATATCTCAAATATTTAACTTAATAAACTCCTTTCATCAGTTTTTGATAGAATAAGATCAAGCAAGCCCGATCAATTCAAAAAGATAAGAGTCATCAAAGGAGATGTGACACTAGATAATCTCGATCTTGATCCAAGCGATGAAGAGGAATTAATAGAAAATGTAAATTTAGTGTTTCACTGCGCTGCCAATGTAAGGTTTGATTTAAAACTTAAAGAAGCCGTGAACTTCAACTTGAATGGAACATTTAGTGTCTTACGTCTTGCTGAAAAAATGAAAAATCTTCAAGTTTTTATGCATGTATCCACAACATATTGTCACTGTAAAGAAGTTATTTTAGAAGAACGCTATTACAGAGCGAATGAAAATCCTTTTGGTATAATGGAAATGGTAAAGACATTAAATGATGAGACATTAGAACATATTACACCGAAATTACTGAAGGATCTACCAAATACTTATGCATTAACTAAAGGACTTACAGAAAATTTGGTCCACTCATTTCAAGGAAAATTCCCAATTGTGATCGCTAGACCTTCAATAGTCATAGCCGCTTGGCAAGAGCCATATCCAGGATTTGTTGAAGGTTTGAATGGTCCAACAGGTTTGCTAGTTGCTGGAGCAAAAGGTGTTCTTAGATCAATGCATTGTAATCCAAATTATCCAGCAGAGACGGTGCCAGTCGATATAAGTATTAATTGCATGATTGCTCTTGCATATAAAAAGTCAATTATGGATGACAAAGACGTTCTTTATTGTAATATGACAGATAATGGAACAAATCCTATAACATGGGGTGAATCCTTAGAAATGGGAAGAAAAGTATTTTATAAATATCCTATGAGTATTTCATTATGGTACCCAGATGGTTCCATTAAGTCCAACTATTTTGTTCATTTGTGGTGTGTGATTTTCTTTCATTTCCTTCCTGCATATTTCATCGATGGACTTCTCTTTATCACTGGAAATAAACCATTTTTGGTCAATGTTCAGAAACGCATTAATCAAGGACTTAAAGTTCTTCAGTATTACACGACACGAAAATGGACATTTCATAATGACAACTTTAAAAAATTAAGCAATGAAATGAATGACATCGACAAAGAAATGTTTAACTGTGATATGTCAAAAATAAATCATGAAGTTTATGCTCGTAATTGTGTATTTGGAATCAGGCAGTTCATAGTCAAGGAGAAACCAGAGCAGCTACCTAAAGCTCGTTCAATGCTACGAAAGTATGTATTAAATTAATTTTAAGTACTTTATAATGCAATCCATATTGTTTTAATGCAGATTGTACATTGTGGATCGGATGGTGACGTTCATCTTCTACGGATTAATAATATTATGGATTTATAGCTATTTTGGTAAATTTTTCTACTCCAATTAAGTTTTTGTCAGTGAATTTATTCTATTTTCAACTCCCTATGTTAATTACAATCAAATATTTTTATATCAATCTGCTTTAATTTAAGATAAGCATTTATATAAAAATTTGCACATGTTTTTAAATTCATTATTTCAAATTTTAGTTGTATTTTAATATAAATTAAACCCATTAGAAGAAATGAAATAATTCATTGTGGGCGGTCGCAATGATAAACATCAAAAAATTATAGTTTTAAATCCCCAATCCCACATGTATGTGAACATTATAATGCAGAACTTTGCTCAAAATAGTGATGATCAAACTTTATATCTCGACACAAAAAATAGATAGGACACGTCAGGTGCAGAGATGTATGGAGAAGGGGTTTAACCCGAATAGCACAAGTTGGATAACCCAAATAGCACAAGTCGGATAATTCGAATAGCACAAGTCTACAATCCAACACCGGGACTTTGTCTCGATTATCCGACTTGTGCTACTCGGGTAACTTATGTTAATGTTGTAATATCACCCAACAGACATGTTGAGGGAAAAATAGAAATTCGGTCGTGATCCACATCAAAAAAATTGGGTTGGGGGTAGGGGGGGGGGGGGGGGGGGTTTAGTTCAAATCAACATGGTTTTTAGCGCATTTTTGAAAACTTGTTTTCGAAAAGGGAGCTCAATAATACACTTTGTTCGTTCGTTCGTTCGTTCGTTCGTTCGGGCAAGCATAAAAACTTTGCAACCAGACATCGTAGAGAGCTCGGATTTGTTTTATTAGCTCCGTTACTATTGTTTATTGTCCGATCGAACAGTTAAAAGTCTTCAAGCAGTGTATTTATGCTATAATTAATGAGTTTTTGTTTTGTTTTCAGTGTAACCTGCTGAAATTTTGTTCTACCTCTATAAATTCAAATTTACCTCTATAATTTCAAATTTTTTCTAGCCTATGTAAAATTTCAAATTTTAAAAAACCGTTAAATGATAAACTTTTTCTATATGGAAATTCATTGCAGCAAATTATTAATTATAATCAAATACTGATCGCTTCGTCAAAAATGCGCTGAAGTCCCTCGATCAATAACACGAGGACTTTTGTAATTTTTTAATGAGGACTTTAGAAAAACATAAAGTCTCCCATAATATTCCATCCTATAAAAAAGGAGCAGCACCCCCTCCAAAAGATTTTGCCTGAATGGCACAAGTCGGTTAATCGATCAGAAATCCAGCATCAAGCAGGTGTGACTCTGGATTTAAATTGAAACCAGCACCATGCCGGAATCATGCCGGCTTAGTGCCGAATTTTTATTCGATTAACCAACTTGTGATATTCGGGCTGGATACTTACTCCCTTAGATCAGTGTTGTTCACACAGTTTGGACAACACTGCCTTAGATAATGGCAATTTCAACATAGTTCCTAATTTTATCTTCTTATAAGCTAGTACAATGAATTTCAGCTAGCATTTAATATCTAATAATTAATGCCCTACAAACAGTTTGGCTATCTTAATTTAGGTAAAAAATTTTGCTATTTGGTGGTGAATTTTTATTAAAGTACAACAAGTTGAACCTTCGGAGCTATGTGCTATCTCATCAAAAAAACTTGTACATATTTCTTTAATTATTATTGCACATGCTTAATAAATTACTTTTCTTAAATTTTCATAAGCTGAGTTCATAATACCCCAACTTATTGCAGCACGAAAACAATTCATGTTAAGGCCTTTATAAACATTACGAATCGACCTATCTCGAGTTTTATAAATTTCCTTAAACACTACCAGTACATTATCGTATTTCCCTCCGATTTTACTTTGTATTACAACTTTGACTACATTTAATGGATAAAATATGGAACTAGTGAATGCACCGATAACAGCACCAGCGACAAATTGCTGCATGTTTGCATAGAGTACTCCTTCCTGTAATTAAAGATAATGCATTAGATCCATGTTAACCTTAAATTGATCTGAGGTTGGTTTTTAAAGCTATTTGAGGAACGCAGACTTACCTTTTGTGGGAGTTTTTGTGCCTCCTCTCGTAAAATAAAGAAGACAGCATTACTTGGGCCATTCCTTAAGAGTATTGGAACTAAACCACGATAAAGCTCTTTCCATCCAAGTTCAGTATAAATCATACGAAATGCATGATAAGTGTTCCTATATTTTTCATGGTAATAAGAATCAGCTAATATAGTTTGAACACGTTCGAATGGCATCAAAACAGCTTCAAATGTTCCAGAAACCATTCCAGCAATACATTTTGCACTATATTGATTTATCCCATAAACATCTATTGCAGGTTTCTTAACTCCATCGTAAACTCCAAACATAACAGACAACGACAAGGTTTTCTGCATTAAAGGTGGTCCGATTCCGCGATATAAATATGATAAACCTTCATTATGTAATTGATTAAAAGCTGATCTAATCTTTATTCCATGAAGCATCTACAAATAGACAAAACATTGAGTTTCTATAAACAGGAAGTTCCTCCTTATAATTCTTATCTGTACCTGACGAAAGATCATTTTGTATACTGGAAACGTAAGAAAAATATTGATTCCCGCAGCACCCCATCCACATAAGAATTCACGATGGTCAAATGATTGGAACAGATGAAATTGCTTCTTGCGATTTTCAACAATTTCGTAATAAAGTTTTGATGGCATTATGATTTGATAACATAAATAAAGAATACACAAAAAATAATCACATGATTCAAGTAAAGCAGAATGAAAGAATTGAGAATCAAAGTAATAACAATGATCCACTTCCAAACTTCATTGCTAATTTATTTTATTTTTTATTTTGTTTAATATCAAATTTTAATTTTCTTTCGTTCTTCTTTTTATTTTTTTGTTAAATTTCTACATAAATTTTATGTAATTAAAATGAATCGTGTTGTAGTCAAAGTAATATCTGTTCAAAGTATTATCACTGAATGTTCAAAAAATGTTTACACATTTAATTTACACCAATATCATTTTATAAGTTAAAAAGATCTAAAATTCAGTTTTCAAGAATTTCTTTAACTTTCTTAACACAAAACAGCTGATTTTTTGAATTTCTTATAGCCGTTAAAGAATTTTAAGAATTTACCATTTTTGTAGCATGCTTGCAATATTATTGTTATTTTTTATGACTAAAGTGATGATTACTTTTTATTACTAGGTTACTCTGTTTGTTTATATTCAATTCATTTGATTTGATCTGAATAGTTTCAATTCACAGTCAACAGTTTGAAAACCTTCAGATGTAGAACGCAGTTTTTTTCTTTCAAGTGGATCAAAAATTTTGAGAAGAATTATTCATCCCATTGAAATAAAATCTGGAAAGAGGTTATCAAGAGCGACACAAATCGCAAAAGCTCTGAGGGGTCGTTCACTTATTACGTAATGCTTTTAAGAAGGAGGGGGGGGGGTGTAAGATTATGTTACAAAAGAAATTTTTTTTTTCATACAAATTTTTTTACGAGGGGGGGGGGGGGGGTCTAAAAAGTCATTTTTTCTTCAATTATAGAATTCCGGGGTTGATAGCGATAGTCAGGGGTTGACATGTTTTCATCTTTTCATCTTTTTTCATCTTTCCATACAAAAAATTCATCAATTTTCATCTTTTTTCATCAATTCATACAAAAAATTCATCTTCCTTCATTATTTTCATCTTTAAGAATTTCACGTTTTATTTGGTTTGTGAAGTATATAATTTCATACAAATTACCTTAAAAAATCATTTTTTACAAAAATATTTATGAAAATTCGCTTTTTCACATCACAACTAAGAAAATCTAAGCGAAAAATGACTTTTCCGAGGGGTTTTTCATCTCATCTAAGGAAATCGAGACGAAAAATATGCTTTTCTTTGGAGTTTTTCAAAGGAGTTTAAATAAAAAAATTAATGCAAAGCGGGATGGGTCAAGAAAAGTTGACCATAAAAACCAGCCAATTATCAGCAGTTTATAAAGGGATCATTAACCTTTACGACGTCCCTAGCTGTGAACTAGCTATAATCAATTATAAACAATGTCTAAGGTATCAAATAAATCTGCAAGATCAGTTAATTAAGTAAAGTAAGTTAATAGCACAGTAATAAAATGAATGCTGACTATTTAACGTTTATTCTTCTTCATAAATTGTTGATTAAGTTTTAAACGGATTACAATAATTAATAAAATTCATTGTAACATATTTAATAAATATAAATTTTAACATTAATGATTAACAAATCTCTCATCATTTTGTTACTTTTCAAGATAAAACTTCTATACAAAATATATAAATCTGATATAAAAAAGCAACACATTAATACAACATGTAAAAGTTCAAAAACTTCCTTAAAAATGGCAATTCTATAGCCACAAATAGTTTATCTAAAAATTCATTAATTTTTTATGTGTCAAAAATTGGAGTTTATGTTTCTGTGTGATTTAAAGGATATATCCATGCATAATAGTTTCCCGTGATGTGTCAAATGTATCTATTGACTTTATTCTGTTCATTTATGGATCTACTATTTCCTTTGATATTTAACAGTCGATTTGTTTCTTCTTTTTAAACTAGTTTTCATGCATGTATGCCCGAGAGACACAAATGAAAAGCAGTCGTCGATTAGGTTTACTCAACTCATTGCCACAGAGTAATTCATTTAGACTTTTTGGATTCTACTTGATAGCGGATCTGCATAGCTTTCATATGAATGTCGATGTTGCATATGAAAGCCACCCAGAGGTTCCATCAAGTGGAATCTATCTGATTAGCTTTGCTAGAAGGGTTTCTCAACTTTTTTTAAAAGAAAGAACAAGCACCTAAGAACCCTATGTAGCTTAGCTCCTAGTGCTAGTGTCGAAACCTTGAAGAAACCATGTCATCGACTATATCATGTGCTACTCGGGATAGTTATAACTCTTCTTGAATAAATAATACATGGAGGGAAAATGTACATATGGATTCTATAATTGATGGTTTGATAAAGTTTTGTCGTTTAATTTTGATTATTTGCATAAATACTTTTTTTTTTATCAAAAATATTGTATTGTTACCAAAAATTGTTATTAAATGGCACTTACACTTATAAACCTTTTTTTTGTCAATACTTATGGATATAAGAATATTTTTTAAAATCATTCCAAAAAGGAATTTATGCAGAGTTGGAAGTTTTGTAGGCAATAAATATTGACAATCATGCAATTGTTTCTATTGTACCTTAACACTTATAAAATACTACAATGCCTTTTTGTATGTGGAGACTTTTTCTCTACTGCACGAACGGCTTCTTCAAAGACATCACTTAAATGTGTCTTCTTTTTTGCTGAACATTCTACTAAAGTATAAGCACCAATTTTACTTTTAAGTTTCTTTCCTTCTTGTGTTGTTACAAACTTCTCTGATCCATGAATTCTTAAATCCGATTTTGTACCTAAGAAGAACATGTGTTGCAGCTATGTGGCAGTATAATTTTAAGAATGACTTACCAACTAACACGATTGGCACATGTGGTGAAAAGTGTCGAATTTCAGGGCTCCATTTGGAAGCAACGTTCTCATAGGATGTTTTTGAATCAATTGAGTAGCAAAGAAGAAAACATTCAGTCTATAAATGAATAAAAATTCCAATTGAGTAAGTTTATAAAGAGGTGTCGTGGCAGAATGGAATCTGGTTATCGAGTGATTTGTAGGGGAATCTGCTAGAATAAAGTAAGGCATTTGTAAACAAAAATTTGTTTCCCTTGAATCCCTTAAAATATTTTGACTCTCAGCTAAGGCAAAATTCTCGATAATTACTTTTTTAAAGACCTCTTCCTCCCTCCTTCTTCAAAAAAAATTAAGTTTAAACTGTTATAATCCCGAAGACCCCTCACCAAGCGCGTAGCCATTAGGGTCCACCCCCCTTAAACGTTTTGAACCGCAAAGAGAGCACTGCCTAAAACGCTTAAGAGGGGGACAATACCCTCATGGCTTAACGCCTGCCCCTCACCCCTAATATTGACAAAATTTGCATGATGATGCTCACGACCATGATACGATCATAATCTAATGCTATAGCTCCCGGAAAAAATGTTCAATTAGTAAATTATGCGTGACTCACATTTGGATAGCTCAATGGGCGCAGTCTCTCATAATCTATAAAATAAATAATATTTATGAATACTATGGAATGTTTTGAATTGTTCAGGATTAATTACCTTCTTGTCCCGCTAAAAAAATTTTATAAAACAAAAAAACAATATACATTTAAAAATTAGAATTTAAACACATTTTAAACATCATCTCACCAGTATCCCTGCATCAGCACATAATTTTTGAAAAGAAATGTTTAATATCAGTAACAGTATTATTAAATACATTGTAATCATTCTTACCATAATGTTAGGGAATATTCCTTGTTATCTACAACTATATTGCATGCATGGTTATCGAATCTAAAATTTTTTAATTATCAGTAATTATCAACGTTTACATATCGATAATATATTAATGCACAACTTACACAGTTGGTACATATTCTTCTGGAAATTCATTTTGTGTGTATGAAATTAAAAGACAGGTTTTTCCGACAGCACCGTCACCAACAGTCGTTATTTTTAAGGGCCTCATTGTTTAACTATTTCACAAAATTAATACTATTAATCATTAATAGATATTCATTAATGACGATGAAATTAGTGAACAGCCTTTCTATTTATTTGTCAAAGTATTTAATCAGTATATAGCACTCAAAAAAATTTCGATAAATGCAATCGCAGCGTCACAAATCTCTTATCATGAGTTTTCCGATGACAACAGTCACAGAGTAAACGACTGAGTAATTTTTTATATTAGATATTATACTTACACTTATTATACTCTATGACAGATATGAAGCAACAAGTTAAAAAATTACTTTTTTTATATTAAATCTTAATTTAATGCCTGAGCTCAACAAACTCGCGTTGCACAACCGCTAAATTGAATACTGTTTTTAAATTAATACTTTTTATGCTCTTTAACCCAGAATTATATGTCCAAATTAATTATTTTTACTCATCACTCTTACATAGTTGTGTGATGATTTCTTTTTGAAATCTGTTTTATAAACGCACTCATTGCTTTGGACTGTAGACTGTTGCGAAACATAGGATTGTTTTATTTTTGTAGATTTTTTCAATGTTTCATCATCTAATGCAAAATGTAAACATTTCAGGTTCTACAAAAATATTTATCAAACTGCCGGAATTACTTTTTTTATTAGTAAATTAAGCAGAACAAATCGGTAAGTGTGGTGTCTAAGCGGATTGAAATCTATGAACCAGTTTTTTGGTCACTTACCCTAGTCAAAGTCAAATTTTAATTGAATCTCAAAGTGTAGTATATAGTGCACTGGAAGGCTACACATAAAATCAGCCTTAAGTGTTTCAACTCATATGTAAGTGAATCTGAAAGTGCAACAGTAAGAACATTGAAAGCTAGCGGTTTGGCTGCAGACCAGATATCTGTGTAGACGTGAATTCGATTCTTACCACGAGTTGTTATAATCATTACACAGAATCAAGCCGTACTCATTCGAGATTTGATCCAAAAATCCTAGCACTTCCTGATCATGATCATGATGCTAGTAAGGAGCTATATATTTCTAGTGGGATTCGAACTTTCGTATCAGGAATTTCTAGGATTCTTTTTATTAATCCCGAGACTTGCATAGAATATTGTTGCGCAAGGAATCGAACAATAAGCAAAAGCTATGTTTTAAAAATAATTTATTATCTAGTTATTCTGCATAACAATAAGTACATACTCTAAATATTAGAATCATATAACAAAATATTATCTTTCTCTTTACGTCTGCTTTTTGAATGCAGTTATGGTCTTAATTGACTTTAATTGCATCGTATTAAATTGAAAACTGACATCATCACACGTTAATGGATGTTCTTGTGTTGATATGGAACATTCCAATTCTTCATTTTCTTCATGAAGACTTTCTTTTATGGCAGCTTGTTCAACAAGTTTAGGCTTCTCTGGTGAATCTCGATTTAATAGTTTCAAGTTTTGTTCAATTGAGTTATCAGAATATTGATTTTTTACTAATGGACTATGTGGACAATCAGGTATTGGAGTTATAGCACATGGTGGTGTTTGATGATCATTCTCATTTTGTTCAATTAACACTTTCAAACTCATTCCCAAACTGTTGTTTACTGAAACTGACTTGCCAATTTTTCTGTCTAAAAATACTGGTCTACGCTTTGTCTGCTGTTGCTGAAATTTATTTTGTTGATATTCAAATTGTTGAAGTAACCTTCTAATATCAGTTGGTACATCAATGTCAGTGCGATTGATTGTTAAGGATGTCAAGAAATCTCCTAAAGTTTCTATCGTAACTTCTAAGCTATGAATTTGAGATTGCATGGATTGAACTTCTTGTTGTTGTGAATGACGGATGCCTTCAAGTCTTTCCACATTAGATTCTGCCATTTGTACCTGCTTTTGAAGATTCTTTATATCTTCACGTGCCATTTTCAGACTCTCGACATGTTGCGTCGTATTTTGAATTTCATCTTTTAAAACATTGTACTCAATTTTGTAATCTAGGAGCTGCCTAGCAATATTCAATTCATAAACTCGCTTTAAAATCTGTGACAGCTGTATTTCATTTATTTTTGGGATGACATTTTTCAAATAGTCCATTAAATCCTCAAAATTGTCGAGTTTAAGCAGTTCTTCTTTATGAATTTCCAAGAGAGCTAGTACGACACGAAATACAACTTCATACGATGCGTATAGCAGTAAATCATAAACTCTAGTCACAAATCCTAACTCAAATGAGGATGAAAATATTGTCAACATCCAACTTGATGCAAAAAGTGTTGTTGCTACATCATTTGTTTCAAATAATTCATGGATATCCGGTAAATTGTCTTTTATTAAACGAGACATTTGATATAGTTGGAGTTGGAAATGCTTCATATCTGGTAGATAATTCAATCTCAATTGCCTGTCAAACATCAAATGTTTCAGTAAGTCAAAAGCATCATCTTCGTTCAGCTAGAATTAAAAATGGAATTGACTAGAATTGTTGGAGCTATGCAATAAAAATTCAATGACGTTGTATAAAAACAAGCATTAACTTACATGAAGAAGCAATACACCGCATATAAAAGCAAGACCTTGACAATAACCCAGTTCCACATCGAGAATTGAGTATGCTTTAAGTATATTAAAGAGTGAAAGTTGTCCCATTCCAAATGGAGCTTTGTAATATTCATGATTAGGAAAGGTTCTTCCAATATCCATGAATATAGCATGTTGCTGTTCTGTCAAATTTTTCAATATTTCACTGTAAGGCACATTAAAGTTTGGATATTCAGAATGATCAGGTACTTGATGAGACTTGTTATACTGCATTGCAAGCATTTTCCACACTTCACCGCGAACAATACGAGGCACACCACTTTTTATAGTTTGTAAGAACAGTCTATTGTCAACTTCATTCTTAGATGCTTGATAAATGAATTTTTCCCAGACTTCCACAAGCTTTTGGTCGCAGATTATTAATTCATCGTAATTTAATTTGAGTCTACGAATTTCATGCTCATTTTGCTGCTCTAGAAGTCGTGTATTTTCCTTTTCCATACGAATTAACATAATTATTTGTTTGCCAGCAAATTTCCAAAGCTCACGCAATTCCTGATTGCTTCTTTTGCTCCTTGTTAATTGTTCTAAAATGAATATGAATTTTTTTGAATATTGATTAGATTTTTACATGCCAGCTGTGGGGGGGGGGTTCACATGGTTACTAAATAGATCAAACTATCTTTAAAGTCTTTCATCAGTTTCGAACCTTCGAACCACTTATTTTTACAATAAAAGTGTTAATAGTCTGCAACCTTGCCCCTATATTTGTGTACTTACTTTGTTTTGTCTTTTTGGGTAGGAGATTAATTGATTCATCAATATGGATTTTAGACATTTCATTGTCAGTCACATTCTTAAGAATATTATGTCTCCATGAGCCATTTTGAGAATTCTTTTCCTTTGTTGTGTTTCCGACTTTCAGAAACCTATAAATTGAAAGTTTTCATTTAAATCGTGATTAATTTTGGGCTTGTTCACTTATGACGTCTATCAAAAAGTCAATGTTCAGAACCGTCATAAGTGAATATCAACAATTCAATTCCATATAATTACATTTCCATCTTTGATGTATTCATCTGCTTCCTATCATCAGTTCCATTTTTAAAAGTAAACACAGTTGAAGCATTTGGTGATAATGATGCAGATCTTCCAAGTTTCAACTTTCTTATGTCATCTTCGTGTGGAGTGTGATCAGCTGAGTCTTTACTTCCCCTTCGTTTTAAAAATTGATCAAATGAGCTTGTTAGTGACCGTTTAGCCTTCATTAAAATTGTACTTCCACCCAAATAATGATTTAAGAATTCTGATCGATTTTCGATTGTATCGTGTACATGCCGTTGCTGACGCAATTGACAATGTGCTTCTATTAATGCCATTAAAAATTTATTTCTTTCGTGTATGGAATACTCGTTAACTTTATCAGATGCAAAGAACTTTTCCATTAGTATTTCATAGTCTTCTGTACTTAGTTCTTCAATGTGCTTGACGATGACATTATAAGCTTTCTTTTCGCTTAAACCTTCCACAGCTAAGCATAGCTTATTGAACCAAATCATAGGACAATGTTCACATGTCAATAATACTTGGGATTTTCGTTCATCCTCGTTGATTTGATCCTGCCTTTTATCTTCTTCAAGAACTTCCAGTGACTTTATCATTGAGTTGACAATATCATGAGCAATACTTCCAGATTGACATTTAAAAACATATCCAATAAATTCTTGCTTATTATCCTTAAGTTCATTACATATAATCCCAAAATGTTCAAAATTTTCAGTTCCTTGAACTACATTAACGACATCTTCAAACTTTTTGTGAAGCAAAACTTGTTTTCTATCTGGGCTGATTAATCTTAAATCAGTTCTTCCAAGTATATACACCATTGTTCTATTTTGTTCCATTGAACCAATCGAAGCTGATCTATGTCTCTTCGGTAAATCTTCGACTTTCATTGACTCAGATCTTTGAAATAATTTTTGTCTTGAGTTTTCAATTTCTGGCACATCTTTAGATTTTGTCTCATCGACGTCATTATTTTTCAACTCTACACTATGCACACTAGACGTATCACTTCCACTTTGATCATCCTTATCTTTTGTTGATATTCTTCTTATTTCGTTTTGTATCACAGAAACATCTGACAAACTTTGATGCTCCAAGTCTTGTATTGATTTTTCATTTATTTCTAGGCTCTAAATTTATTGCACACGAACAGAAAAGAGAGAGAGAGAATTGATATTGATTGAATGTCTAAATTAATCTAATTAATTTTTTATGCTTGTTCACTTACTTTCATTTTCATTTTATCGTGTGCTATAAATTTTGGTATTGCATCGTCGATGAATGTTTTCGGCAACTTTTTGTGTGATACACGAATCTTACCAACATACATGACCTCAAAAAATTGCGAGTCATTTAACTGTACATCGCCAAATAGTGACAAATTTATTCGATTAAGATTTAAGTCACCAGTTGAATGGCTGATGTGTGACTTTTTGAAATTAACAAGTCGGTCTCTTTTGTTTTTGTTTCGCATTGATAAGTCAGAATTGACATTTATCAGTGATCCGTTAGGTGACACAAGACCCGATACATTATCAGCCGATCTACCCATTTCCAGTGAATGCTTCATGTGATCCGATAAGTGGGAAATCTAAATATAAAATTTATTTTTTTTTTGTACTTGATTGTATTATTGAATTAACGTCTGTTAGTCTATTATTATATCAAATATATAGTATAAACTTTCAGACGATTCACTGAGGCACTGAATGTGTAATTATTTCATTTGAATGTTTCTATCAATAGAGAATACAATAAAAAAAAAACAAGTAAAATGTTGCCGTGCTAGAGAACATTTCGTTTTGTGACGCACGTCTCTTATAAATCTTTAATAACTATTTTGACATTACTTCAAAATCCTTCATTTCTTAAGTTTTGTGTGTTTTTAAGAACACGTGTTAATTTATGTGATTAGTTCCTTATTGCTGCATATGAATAAAGAATTTAATTTTTTGTTTGATCTTTTGACAGGGGGAAAGCAGGAACTAATAACCCGAATGGCACAAGCCGGTTAATCGAAAAATCATGACTCTAGAATGGTGATGGCTTCGATTTAAATCCAGCACCATGCCAGAGTAACACCAGCTTAGTGCCGAATTTCTGATCGGTTAACCGAATTGTGCTATTCGGGTAAATTGGAGGGGTCTGATGACCCTGTGCTTTTAGGTGTGAATCTAAAAAGACGCCAATTTCTATACAATGGAGTGACACAAAAATTGATTCGGTAATCTAGACTAGTAGGGGGGGAGGGGGAGGGGGGTTCAGAATTTTTTTACATTAGAGGAAATTTAACCATTGATTAGGCTGACCTCCATCCCCAGGCTACACCCCTGTCTTTTGATTATAGTTGTTGACATCAAAATTCTTAAATTTAGCAACAACACCGCATATCATTCCAATATGAACATTGACATTAGCTCTTTAGCAAACGAATAAGTAATGAACAAACGTCAATAGATGATGTCATATATTCTTAAAGACAAGCTTTCATTTGATATTAAGTAAGAAATGTTGTTTGGTATTATTTCATGTTCTACTGGGTTCTACATGCTTTACAAAATTAATAGACGTTTATTTATAGGAAACGCAAGGTTAATTTCAATTAATGCTTATTGCTCACAGTGTGTAGATTGCAAGTTTTGCAAAGAAAAAAAAACATTAACTGCTAAATTGTTATAAGTATCAAGAAAGCTGCTAAGGTCAATTGAAACAACTTTACTAGCTTTTTTTGTGTAGAGGAAATCCTGCGAAACTTAAGTAGAAGTGAGCTTTAAGGCAAACAAGTATAATAAAATTAACATTTTAATAAAGAAGCAAAAAATAACAATTTTCATTACGAAGGACATATATGACATATTATTAGCTCGTCATGTTAAGCTATAACGCACAATTTTGAGAATATAAAACATAAAATAACTTTGTACGAACTTAAAAATAGCGAAAAAAATGGTTTTATTTCTGTTTTTTTCTCCTCTTCTTCACTGTATGAAATCAGAAAGATAAATAGATCACAGACGTTGATGCCAACAAGTCTTTTCTTGTGATATTGTGACTTTTACGTGATTACTGAATGAATTTGCATTTACACTTTTTTTTTCTAAACTTCAAATCAATTGTTTTAAAGGCTGCGATCTTCAATTGGTAAAATTTTATTAAATAACAAATGTGCGAACGTGCTTTGTTACTTGCCGCGTTGAGTTTTAAAATACAACTGGGAGATAAACAGTTTGTAATTTTTTTATTCTGTTTTTTTCCAACAACACACAATTGTTATTAACGATTTGGATACTGGAACTTGATGAAAAAACACTTAAATGATCATAACACATACAAACGTAGATAACATGTGCTGTTTGTTGCCGGAGACACAACAATTAGTCACAATTGAATCGTGTGGCGCAAAAAGTTGATTTTTGATAACGTTCAATGAAAAGTGACAGATAAATTGTGATTTAACGATACGATGAGGCATTTGAGTTGATGAAGGATGAAAGAGGACTGGGACGTAGCCAGAAATTTTTTGTGGGGAATTGAATTATTTTCTTCATGGAAGAGGTTGGGGATTATAGGATTTTTTCACAAAAAACCCTAGTAAATTTTAGAAATTCTTACAGTCGTGGTTAAGGACCCCCCAAATCCCCTTAACTACAGCCCTGCTAAAGATTTCAAGCAAAACAAACAAACAATGACTCCACATTCTTATGCCGCTCAGTAGAAAAATATTTAATTACATCTTTTTTGAGTGCTGAAGCATCACTGTACGCCTCGCGAAACAAAATATTTTCACGGTGATACGGTATATGAAACATTTTTCTTTTATTTTCTTTCTTTGTCCTTGCACAGTTCAATTTGTTTGGATTATTTGATTTTAACTTAATTATTTAAAATTGTAATATTTTCTATAAACACAAAATGGATATGCAGCAGTCTCTTTAAACTTTTTGCTTTGTAAAATGTTTGTGTTTCGTAACCCAAAAATAAAACTTATACTCTAATGATTTTATTTTCTTCTTTTTTATTTTATTTTATTTTTTTCTTTTAATTGTTCCTGTTGTTTTTCCTTTCTTTTTTTGACCGCTTTCAATGAACTCAAAGAGAAAACTGAAAATGTGAACTATTTTTTTTCTTTTGGCTCATTTTCTCAATGTGAACACCAATTCAGCTATAAGTTGATTGATGTGTAGTTTGTCCTATTGTCTGTTTAGCAGGTGTGGAAACAAAGTTTAGATATTGAGAGTTTATTCTTTGGCGGGAAATTCTTTAATTTTCTTACTTACTTTAGGGTATAAAATACAATTTAATTTTGACCAGAATATGAGCTCTCGATAACTTTAGAAACTGGCATTAAAAAGAAATCTACATTTTGACATCAAACTTCCCTGAACTATTATTCATAAAATAAAAAGCCAAAACATTCTTGAATAAACTTTTTGAATCCAAATGCTTCTTAATTGTTACAACAGCGAGACTTGTCAACTTTTTTTTTATTCGCTGAATTTTCTTTCCTTTTGGGAGACGATCGCTCTCTTAATAGAGAAAAACCTAACAAAGTTTTAGTCTTTACATATTACACTCATACTTTGTTTTAGTATTATTGAGTAATTTTCCTCACTCGCTCACTAACACTGCCGGCACAAACATCGTCTATAGGTGCTGAATATAGCCGCTATCGTTAATAATTACTTACTATGAATACTGAAATAAACATTTTATTTTATTTTTTAATTTTAGATATGAAGAAAATCCAATATTCTCTCTGGCTATTGTATTTATTCTTAAAATGTATTGCTCAAGATCGTATAAGAATTGATTTTGAAGAATCTACATCAAATGTGCGTAGACTTAAAAGGTTTTGGACCAATACAGGCTTCTCACCTTTAGTCAATGACTTAAATTTTTTTGAATCAAATGATTTGAGTACAAATTTAGAAATTATTGGATCTCTACCAAACAATGGATTGAAGAATGTGCGAATTCATTGGCTTTTGGATCTTCTTATTCATAAGTATTTTTTTTTAAGATTTAATTTTTAAAATTGTCTAAAGATGATTTTTTTTTCAGATTCAACGACAACGATATTCTAATGTATGACTTTAGTAAACTTGATAATTTTTTAAATAAATTAATTAACGATTGGAATTTGGTTCCAACAATTGAATTTATGACTTCACATAAATTTAAAAGGTACAATAAAGAATTTTGGAGAGATTATGCTTATGAGATAATTATGCATTATATAGGTAAGTTCCAGATACGTTTATCTTTTTCAACAATAGAGCATACTTGAATTAAATTTTTGGTAATATCTAAAAAGTCAAAAATTCAAAAATTCAAAAATTCAAAAATTCAAAAATTCAAAAATTCAAAAATTCAAAAATTCAAAAATTCAAAAATTCAAAAATTCAAAAATTCAAAAATTCAAAAATTCAAAAATTCAAAAATTCAAAAATTCAAAAATTCAAAAATTCAAAAATTCAAAAATTCAAAAATTCAAAAATTCAAAAATTCAAAAATTCAAAAATTCAAAAATTCAAAAATTCAAAAATTCAAAAATTCAAAAATTCAAAAATTCAAAAATTCAAAAATTCAAAAATTCAAAAATTCAAAAATTCAAAAATTCAAAAATTCAAAAATTCAAAAATTCAAAAATTCAAAAATTCAAAAATTCAAAAATTCAAAAATTCAAAAATTCAAAAATTCAAAAATTCAAAAATTCAAAAATTCAAAAATTCAAAAATTCAAAAATTCAAAAATTCAAAAATTCAAAAATTCAAAAATTCAAAAATTCAAAAATTCAAAAATTCAAAAATTCAAAAATTCAAAAATTCAAAAATTCAAAAATTCAAAAATTCAAAAATTCAAAAATTCAAAAATTCAAAAATTCAAAAATTCAAAAATTCAAAAATTCAAAAATTCAAAAATTCAAAAATTCAAAAATTCAAAAATTCAAAAATTCAAAAATTCAAAAATTCAAAAATTCAAAAATTCAAAAATTCAAAAATTCAAAAATTCAAAAATTCAAAAATTCAAAAATTCAAAAATTCAAAAATTCAAAAATTCAAAAATTCAAAAATTCAAAAATTCAAAAATTCAAAAATTCAAAAATTCAAAAATTCAAAAATTCAAAAATTCAAAAATTCAAAAATTCAAAAATTCAAAAATTCAAAAATTCAAAAATTCAAAAATTCAAAAATTCAAAAATTCAAAAATTCAAAAATTCAAAAATTCAAAAATTCAAAAATTCAAAAATTTAAAAATTCAAAAGTTCAAAAATTCAAAAATTCAAAAGTTCAAAAATTCAAAAATTCAAAAATTCTAGAAAAATTTGGATTATCAAATGTTTTAAAATGGAAATTTGAAACTTGGAATGAACCAGATTTATCAGGATATAATAAACTAAATTTTTCTCTATCAGGTACGATATAATTAATTCCTTTTAAAGCTACTTGTATGTCTAGTTTCAAAATATTATTTAATTATCGACAGAATACAATGACTACATTTTTGGATTAAATGCAGCCTTTAATAGATTAAACAGCGAGCATTCCTCAAACAAAATGTTAAAACTTCGTGGACCTGCTGGTTTGTTCAAAGATATCAAGAAGCATAAATTTTGTTGGATTGTGCTAGAAATTTGTAACCAAAACATATCATCATGTCCTGTTGATATTCTAACTTTTCATCGTAAAGGCAATGGGAGTAGCGCTAATGAAGTTATAGATTCAACATTAAATCTTTTACAAGAGATTTCCAAAAAATATCCAAAATTGTCAAAAATGAAATTTTCAAATACTGAAGCAGATCCAAAAAAGAAATGGTCTGAGCCACGTGATTTTCAAGCTGACACTCGATATGCTGTGATCCTTTCAGAAATTATATTGCAACATTGGAAAGCAATGTTTGATAGACAAATGTCTAATCTTGAGTCCATAAGTCATGATAACAGTTTTATGAATTATTATCCTTTTATTTTCGACCAAAGAACTTTATTGGCTCGCTTTCAGATTAACAATACAAGACCAAAACATTTACAATTTATTCGAAAACCTGTTTTTACAGCTCTCGGGTTAATGTCAAATTTAGGCAAATATGCGTCAAACGTTCGAAGAATTAATAATATTTCATATGTAGTCAGTGTCAATAATAACACAGAACAATTCTTTTCAAGTATTCTTCTTACTAGCCATGTTAATAATGAATTTTACATGAATAATTCGGCTACTTATGAGTTTATGATTAACAATCTACCGAAACGAAATGATTTGATGGTTTTTATTGAAGCTATTGACAACGAAAGAACAAATCCATCAAATATTTATGATAGACTTAATAGACCAAAGTATCCAGATGTAAATGAGCTCGAAAAAATGAGGAATTCACAAGGACCATTTACTTTTGAAGAGCCATCAAAAATTGTCAATGGCAAGTTTGTTGTGAATCAACAATTAAAAGAACCATTTGTTGTGAATATTCGGATATGCAGCAAGAATGCCAAAAATTCAAACAGGATACAAAATCTTCGAATTAGAAAAATCAATGATCAAGAAATAATTTTATTTTGGACAGATAGTGTCATTTTCCAAAGATGTACAAAAACTTATGAAATATATTTTAAATATGGCAGTCATCCTTATAAGCTATTGTCATTGGGTCACATACCATTCCTTTATCATCAATTTAAACATACAATTCCTGGCTGCTTTAAAGTTTTATCAAAAGACTTTTTTAATAGAGTCAGCAAGTTATCTAAAGAAGTATGCAATTTTAACAATATTAACCGAAAATGAGATTTTAAAAATTAAAGAGCTTTTTAACATGAAAAATGAGCTTTTTCAAATAGCTTCATTGAAGATTCCTTTAAGTTTCATAAAACTTTCGTTTTTTGGTTTTAATTTTTTGATCTGTCATGTTGTTATTCATGTCTCTGCATGCATTATAATTTTTCATCTCAATTTTGTTTAATTTAATCTTTGTAAAGACCCAATTCTCAACTGCATTATAATTATCACTTTGCCATTTAATATTTTCTAAATATCTTTTTCGAATTGATAGAATATTATCTTCATTAATTAGCTCATCTTTATCAAGTTTCGTCATAATCGCTTCTAATTCACTTATATGCAAATGTGAATTTATGCATGAACTTATTGATAATAGGATTTCGTACATCGTTGATGATGATATCCTGTGAAAAAAATATGAAAAATGACATTATTATGATTATTATTAAAACCAATTAAAATATTGAAGTTGAGTCAAAAAAATTATAGTCAAATCAATTCAAGGCTTGGAGCTCTAGGGCCAATTTTTGAGACAACTTGGAGTATTCTACTTGATTAGCGTGGATATGGCTCGAAGAGCATATCTGTAGTAGATAGGCCTGAGCATAGGGCTCGCGTTGAGACTGGTTATATGTATATGAAGGATAGCTGAAGTGGGATAAGTACCTCAGTGGCCGAGAGGTAGAGATCTCTGATCGAGTGGTCAGAGATCGCCTCTTTTGAAGTCGTGAATAATCGAACCTGACTTGTTTAAAATTATTATACACATATAGGAGTTATAGGGAGATCTCCAACTAGAGAGGCCAAAGAATATAATAACTTGATTCTAGATCATAGCGGAGAATAGAGCTAGAGTTGTTTTTGAAATCATTAATATTAAAATAAACTATAAAGTTTGTTATATTTGTAATGACTTACTTTTTACATATTTGTGTGTAATTTTCACCAATAAACTCTAAAGTTACATTCAGCGCAATGACGCTCTTTCCTGATGTATTTTTTAAAATGTTCTTTCTTTCATTTTCAGTTAGAATATTGTCATAGTTGATTGACATTTCCAGGAACTTTCTAAGATTATTCTTATTTAACGAACATCCCAGAGAGTTCAAAAAGTTTTCTCGATTTTCAAACTGCTTGTTCATTGAAACTAGATTTGTTAATGAATAAAATGTCTCTTCATCAAGATTTCGAAAGGCTGCACAGTAATCGATTGAAAGTTTCTTTCTAGTGCTCAAATATTTCTTCAATTTAAGCATCTCATGAGCTAAACATTTAACTCCAAGAACTCGACAATTCCAGGTTTTTGTTGAAATCCTTAAAGATTTTACTGTTGATGATTCACCGTCGACAGCTTCAAATCCGTGTGCATTAACATGAGGATTTGTAATATTTTGAAAGAACTCAAGAAGCTTTTGGAATAAACAGGTTCCAAAAAGACGATTATGGAAATTAGTCATCAAAGCTGCAGCTTTACTCCATGCAATTGGTTCGTCTTCTTTATCAAAATAACTTAACATATCCAAACATTCAAACGCTGTAACTCGTTTAAAATCTGTCCACGCTAAATAAATCTCGTCTTGCAATACAGCTCGATTAAATGAATGGATCAAACTTGAATTCTCAATGAGTTGATTAATTATTGCACGCCATAGTTTGGTGTCATAATCTACGCGATAATACCCAACTTGTTGAATATTGAAGATGATCCAATCATTCATATTGAAGTCTATAACAGAATATGATACAGGCATTGAAGATGTATTAAACCAAAACTTTGGAATTTTTATCGAAAAATCAGGATCTGATTTAGTTGCAAATGTTAATGGAATCGAATATATCTCGCCATTACTGCTTGGATAACGACGTTGACTTAGAATTATGTAAGTTCCATAAATTCGAACAGTTACTATAGGATATCCAGCTTGATTCTCCCATGTTGACATTAATTTACCAATATTTAATGATTTTGATGGATGGTCTTTATTATAAGCAGTTTGAAGACCTGTATGGAGATCGCTTGGAGTTACTGCTTTCATGAATGAATTTTTTAAATAAATATTTAATCCTTTTGCAAATGTTTTTGGTGTAATAGCCTCTTGAAACATCCTCATTACACATCCGGACTTTTCAAATCCAATTTTACTAAAATAATTCCGCAATTCATTTGGTTTTTCTGTGTATTGATTCATTGACCACGATCCCATTACATCTTCTTTAAATGCAAGCGGCATATTGACTGTGATGAACCGATTCATAAAGTTGTATTCAGGAAATATAATATTTGCGATGTAAACTTCATAAAGTGTTGCTAAACCTTCACTTAACCATGTATAGTTCCACCATTTTGGAGAAACAATATTCCCAAAGAATTGATGTAATAGCTCATGAGTAATAATTCTAATGATAGTCATTTTTCTCCCTTCTTCATTTTCTTTTAATAAATATTGATCAAGTAGTAAAGCACGCTCTAAATAAATTATAAGTCCGAAATTCTCCATAGCACCAAATATAAAATGTGGTAAAGCAACATGATCTAACTTTTTTAATGGATATTCTATTCCAAAATGTTCCTCTTGTGTTTTTAAAATTAAACCAACAATGTCTGCAGCAAAATGTGTCTCATCATTTATAATCGATGATGGTTTTGCAAATATTCGTTGAGGAATTCTCGATTTTCCAGCATTTACAAATTGAAAATCGGAAATGACGAATGCTAGAAGGTATGTCTGCATTGGTGGTGTTTGCTGAAATTTTGTAATACAAAAATCGATTAGCTCTTCTTTTTCATCAACTTCCATATTAGAAATTGCATTGTAAATCTTCCCATGAATGATTGTCAGACGCATCGGAGCACGAATACCAGGTTCATCATAACAAGGCATTACATATCGTGCACAATCTATTTGAAACTTTGTTGCAGCATACCAAATAGAATTTCCATCTTCATCTGTATAAGATGCTGCATAAAATCCAGATGGTTCATTTTTCAGTTCACCATAATAAGTTAAATCAAGATTAAATTCTTCGGTTTTAAAGAAAACTCTTGGTAAGGAAATGATTAGAAAGTCATGAGACTTGATAAACTTATAAGTTAAATTATAGAAAAGTAAATCACTTCTATCAACATAATATAGGTTAATCTTTTCAATTTCTAGTTCTCTACAATGTAATGTTATTGTATCAGTAGCTTCAAGTATTTTCAAATGAATGTTGACATTTCCACTAAACTCAAAATCCTTCTCATGAATATTTGATTTTATAATGATTTCATAGCTTAAAGGTATTGAATTTGTAGGAAGTCGATATGAACGGTTTTGATTTGATTGTTCTAAACTTTCCATTCTCCTTTTTGGACACGTTTAACAAATAAATTTAATTCACGTCAAATTAAACTTGTTTTCATCAATGAAAATATCAAACTGATTTTTTTTTCTTCTCTTTTTTGGTAATTTTTATTATGAATCTTATTTTTTAAGAAAAGGAACTAAATGTTTTGGGATATTTTGATTAATTTTAAACTTAAAATGAGTCAAATATAATTAAAATTTTAAAAAACATTAGCCTGAATAATTTTTAAAAAATAAAGTTGAAATTGAATTTTTGAAAAACTTTTATAAAAATTCTACATTTCCATTTTAAAAGCGCCTAGTTCCTAAAATTCAAAAAATTTCTTACCTGTTCTTATCTTATCTGAATTTTGATATTATTTGTAATAGCTTGAAACAAGATTAAAACGTTTTCGTGAAATTTCAAAAGAATAAAAATATAATTTTGAAAATCATTGTAAAGATTTAATTTTTAAATTATTGTAAAAACTTTCAGTTTGCTTTTATTTTTTATAATTCTCATACTTTTCAGCTACATTTTTTTGTTAAAATAATTAATAATAAAATTTCTTATTTTTAAAAGTGCTTGTTGCTTTATCTTTATTAATTGAGCTGTGAAAAAATTGTAATTTTGAAACTTTTTGGTTTAAAAACGATGTTTCAGCTAACTGGAAAGCCTTCAATCATCATATTCTTTAATATTTTTTTGAATAGCTATCTTTTGATGTTCATCTAAAATTATTTAAATTTGATATTTTTTAAAATTTTAAGTTAAAAATAGAAATTTGTTATATTTTAAGAGAAAGAAGCGAGAAGATTTTAAAATTTGAAAAGGGAAAGGGATGAACGAAGTTTTGATGAATCTATGTCTTTAAGATGATTATGCTGCAATCAAGGTTATGGAACTGATCAAAATTATCAAATTGATCAAAAATGATTAAAAAATTGATCAAAAATGATCAAAATCTAGTTTATCAGCTCCACATCTTTGGATGCAATTTCAGCAAATTTCAAGTTTCATGAAATGACAGAAAAGTTGGGAAGCATAACAAATTTCCAAAAAGCTATTTTTTAAGTTTCAAAAATGAAAATCTAATACAATCTTTAAATTATTATTATTAAGTACATTTGCTGGATGGTATCATAATTAATTATTTAGTAACTTTTGCTGAAATCTTTTTCATTTCATTTGAGTCATGTGTGATATGAAAATTATTATTATTGAGTTTCATTCATAAGACATTATTTTTTTAAAAAATCGGTAAAGTGAATTTTTTTTTCATAATTTAGCAATTTTTGTTTATTCACTCAAAATATTTACATTGTTCAAGGCATTTGATTTCATGCTATTCAATTTTCTTTGTGATTTGATTATTTTGTCTATTTGTCTTTTACTCATTGTTATTTTCATTTTAAATGCCTTGAAGCTTTAGCGTTTTATTTTAATTTGCGAACATTCAACATTTCAATAAATTTTGAATTAATTTATTTAAATAAAGATAAATTTAAATCTAATAATTTTCTGAAAGTTTTTGGTACGCAAATCTTTGAATTTTATTTCTTTTTTGACACTTTATGAAAAGTTGCCAAGTTTTAAAATATTCCTTATTGAATTTGGTGTTTTTAAGATCTAATTTGAATGAGTTATCCTTTAATCTCATGCATGCATACACTTGCATTTATCACAATATATAAAATAGTATTACTTTTTATTCTTTATTCTTCTTCTTCTTATTTTATCGATTTAACGACGAAAATATTAAATATTACTTTAGAATTGGTACATGCTCTTACTTAACCTAAAGACTTAAATTTTTTACATATTTTTGCAACAGCTGGTTGGTCAAATTTTAGCAGATTTAAATAATTTTAAAATTTTTTTGACAAAAATGAGTTTTTAATGAGCATAAATTTCTCAATTACATCCACCATGTGGTTCATGATTTAATCACTATCTTTAAAGCCCAATTTTTTTAAATAATTTTTATTTTAATTTGATTATTAAAAAGGTAAGTAATTGCCTGAACTTGGCATAATTTCTGACTAAATCAAGTGACTTTAAAAATATACCAGGAATTGTCTTTTGATAACTGAAAATTGCAATCGTAAAACTTTAAGCTTGTGCAAGCGCTTATGATTAAATTTTTGTTTCAAACTATTAATTTTTGGAATCATGCTATTAAAAATTTGTATTGAAATAGGTTTTAGTAAGGAGATATGACAAAATAGAAATTTATTGTATTTTAATTTTTGATTTTCTAAGGTAAATTTATATTTTTATGGGTTTCCGTCGTTTCAATTAAAATTGATTTGAAAATTTATTCCAAATTATATTTTCTGACACATAATCACAAGAGAAATTTAAATCTTTGGATTTTTCTCATTAATATAAAATCATGTGTCAGGAAATATTTTTTTATCGTCACATATTTATTCATTTAAGACTACTCTGTGTCCTTAAGCTTATTGTATCTGCTTATTAAAGATGATATATAGAAATATATTATCGAATAAGCCTGGAAGAATTTTTCAAATGTTAAATTTAATGAACTTTTTTAAAAAGAATAATAATAATTGTAATTTGGTTACCCTAACAAGAATTTCATTGTAGGAACATCCTATATCTTGTATTTAGACTTATTGCGTAATAGTAAAATAAAAATCCTAAACCAATGATCACAGATGATGAAGTTGATGTTTTTGAAGGCGTTAATATTGTGGCTCCACTAATGCCTGATAAAATTCTCTGTTTTTGTCTCACGCGCTCCTAATTAATTGATTTAATATAAAATTTTAATTAAATAATTATAAAATTAACAGCTAGTTCGAAGTTTAAATATTACCTCATACTTAGCATTCTCTCCTGGGGCGTCGAGACATTCAAATTCACAGCACTTTTCACCTACTCGGAATTTTTTACAAAACTGTTTTAAGCCAATTCCATTGTGAATTGTTGTAAAGCCATTCGTCACATGCAAAAGTAAATAAATAAATAAAATTATTTTAATGGTCGAAAATAAATCTTTAATTTCTTAAATTTTCATCCCTAAGCTCTTGTCAAGTATCTGTCAACAGCAATAGCTGATTTTGTCTGATTTTATAAATAATAAATTCACTATAAAATCATTCGAATATATGTTACAGGAATAAATTAAATTGAGAAGACATACGATATCAAATTCACTTCATTTCTGCATACCAAATATTCATTTCGAGACAAATATTGCCAAACGAATAAATTACTTTTTACATGTTGATTGATAGCTTATTTGAAATTTAAATGAAATATTTTTTACGTACATAAGGTGGATCACAATAAATCGATTTACACCACAATGGTTCTGAGTGATAACAAACGCATAGACTACATACTCCGGGTCCTGTTGGATGATTTAATTATCGATTAGTATTTTTTTCTCTTGTATTACATTAAATTTATCTTACCAGGAACGTATAAGAGACCGTGAGCCACTGTGTTGCCTTGAAAATCTACACAATCCTCCTCTAAACTAGCTATAAATATAAAAAATAGATTAAAATTTTTAAACAGTTTTTTAAACAACTTAACAATGTAAAATGAAAGTTACAGCTTAAAAAAATCTAGCTTGGTTGAGTAACGAAATGTTCTAACGAATGTAGGTCATTGTTAATGTGGATAAGTGGGTGAAAGATATGAAAATAATGAATGACCGTATGAAAGGTATGCATGCACAGAAAATTTAATTTTCTTTATTGCATGCCTGTCAGCTATTTTATAAGAACAACAACAACAATTACATTTTTTCCTGGTCATTTTTTAAATCCTTCAACTTTACTGAGATAATATAAAATGGAGACTGAATCGTTCTTGGACAATTTAAATCTTAAAAAATGTGTAATCTCGGGAAATTCTAATTTATTCTCGGTTCCTCACAAAAAAGTTTCGGAAAATTAAAATTGTTGCAGATGTTCATTTGAAGCTATCATTTTGAAATACAAAGACATTAATAGCCTAACAGTATCATATTTCAATGATTTAAGCAAAGCTAGCGAAATTCTATTAATAGATTTGTGCTGAACAGTTGCAGATTCTATACTTTCCAGATTATAATGTCGGATAGACTTTTTCTCGCATTTTAGATTTATTTAGCATTGCTAATACAGATAATCTGTTAGCGAACTTATTTCAAAAGGATTGAAAAGATTTTTAAAGTTGGAACTTTTATGTTCGGGTAGAGTCTCATGCCAAGTTTTTATTGCTCTGATCAATAAAGTTAAGAAAGTTCAAGTGACCGAAACTTTTACAATTAAAATAATATATGAATGTCTATTGGAAATTCCTGACTTTTTGATGAAATTATCGATTTAATGCAATTCATAGTTAAAAAAAAATAAGGTTGAAAATAAAGTAATATGCTGAATAAAAAACCCAAAATGTATGATTGAATGATGGTCAAAGAATTTTTATATATTTTATGAATTAAACTCTTCAATGTTTGACTATCTAGCATTCCAGATTGCAAGATTTTTTAACAAATTGATCTACGGCAATCACAACTTATAAAGTTATAAACAAATTCAAACTTGGAATTTGAAGTTTGAATTCAAACTTGGAATTTGTTAAACAAGTTTAAACTATTTAAACTTTAAATTACTCACCTACAAACCCAAAAATAGCACTCAATACAGGCAGGAGTAGATAAATGAGTTGATTCATAGCGACAAATTTATCTAATTTGATATGAACTGGATGTTTTTAAAATATATCCTTTTTTTTGTTGTTAGACTTTTGCAAATATTTGGGGTTGAGTTGCTTTGACAACAATATTTGTATATATGAATAACTACGAAACTTAACACAATACAATAGCTGATTCTATTCTCGAGTTTAACATCAATTTTTTTAGAAATCTATCTTTTTACTTATTTTTAGATTTTGATTGATATGGAAAATGTCATTGAGCTGACATTTTTCCTCTAATGGAAAAAGAAAAAAGGTCAAATTTCAATCACATTTCCAAATTGATATTGGTTTACATTATAAATATTTAAATAATTCCATTAATACAATCTGAATATTGTAGTCGGATTAACATGAAAGTACTTAAATATTTCAATGCATTAAATGACACTCACTAGTTTTTAACTTTACATCACTCTTATTGTTGCAACATCAAGTATCAAAGTTCACTGTTCACTTTTATGATTATGTCTTATATTTATATTCCTCCTAGCGAAATGTCCTCGCTCTAAAATGTGGAACTTTTTGTGTAAATAGAGACGTTAAGAACACACACTTAACTCACATTTCATTCTCGTTAAAGTAACAATTTTTCTTTCTTTTGTTTATTTACTTCTCATGTGAAATGAAAAGTGGTTTTTTTTGTAAAACTTTTTTTTTGTTCGTTTCTGTCTTTTTCTGAGGCTCAGTCAACGATTCTTTAATGTTTACACAAAAGCCTTTCTTTTAACAGTTGTTTGAGTTGAAATACAAGAGTCTGAAAAGAAATGAAAAAGATATCATTATGTTTTTATTAGAGAACCCTTATAGACTTGATTCTGTAATTCGAAAATCTGATTGCTTTAATCAAAAGTATAAATGCATCTTAATAAGGTTTTGTTTTTGAAAAATAATTGAGAATTCAATTGAAAATTATCCAAATTTTTTTTCCTTTTGTTGTTACCCCCCCCCCAAGTTATGTCCATGGAATGAAAAATCATATTATACTCTTGAGCAAAAAAACCTTTTAATGAACTATAATGTAGCTTCCTCATGTGTTATGAATGAGTGACTTTGATATTTTCTAGCTTTTTGAGCTTTCTTATTATTTTTAAAAAACACCAAAAAACCTTTTTCGAAGATTAATTGATTTGGCATTCTCGGCTTTTTAATTACTTATGTATGTATTAATTTTTCATATATTTAATGATTCCGTGTCTTGGCAAAGGCTTCAACTTGCGCATCAAGAACATGAAAAGCATTCGTACATAAGAATTTTGTTATAACAATGCCAAATTTTTTTTTTGCTTTTCTTTAAGTTTTGAGAGCTTTTGAAAGATCTTTTGGGCTCGTTGATAAATGATGTATGAAGAAATTTAAGAGGAAGATTCATAAAATCAAATTAACCCTTTCCAAAAATGTTGACGTCATAAATGAAGTAACCCCTTTCGAAACTATTAAATAACATTAGAGAGCTCTTCATTATTTTTTAAAAATAAAAGCATTTGCATAAATTTTAAAAAAAAAATCATCAAAAAATTTAATAAATGTTTGTAAGCTTAAAAAGACACGACCTTATTTATGTCAAACAAAGCCTTCGTAGGAAAAATATTGCCAAGATGTGAAAACAGGAAAAATGACAAATAAAGAGAACTCAAAAGCTGGAGCATACTTTTTAATAATAAAAACAGAAACACCACTTTGGATGCGCATTTCCATACCACCAAGAACCGTTCACAAATAATCGTTGTATGACAGCAAGAAAGACAAACACTTGGTGACTTCCATTGTACTTGAAACTCTTGTTATTGTAGTTTTTATCTTTCCACTATAGGACGATAATGCCTGATGTTATAATCAAGTAAAGAGGCTTTATTAAAATTGGATATGAAACGATTTTTGCACTATCGAAATTTTCAAAATAAACTTTGCAATCTTGTTATTTTATATTGAGCTGACAGAACATCTTTGACTCCTACCCCGCCAAAAACAGACGTCATAAATGAAGGACCCGTTCTGTATTTTTAACAACGTCCAAAGTGACTTCTTATTGTGCATAAGCTTATCATAAAGTGTTAAATTATGCACTTTACAGTTAGTTGTTGGCAAACAGGGACTTTTAAAGTGGAAATCATGAAGCCTTTATGAAGAACTACTAAAGAAACTTTTCGTTTGAAAACATAGAACAACATTCATGAATCATTTTGTGAACATGCTTGAAAAGTTAAAGTAAGTTTGATATTTATGCAATTAACATCACGTATTTTAAACAGTAAGTGAGAACAGACTTTAATCAATATTTTACTTAAAGGCTCGTTAGCTTGTTAAGTTGAAAAAATTTCCTTTGTTTAAAATGTTACAAAAACTAGAATCTTCCCTGCCCCCTAAAATGTGAACGTAATAAATGAACAAAAGGGATCTTTTATAAATGATGTACCACTCTTAAGGAGCGAGGTGTTTTAAAACATTGTGACAATTTTTGATTGTAAATTTATTGAAAGAGGGGAGGTAACCTAAAAACTCAACTTTCGATGAACATCATTTACAAACAATCCCTTACTTATAACGTCCGAAATTAACGGTCATTTTTCCCTTACTTATAACTTCCGAAATTAACGGTCAGATCAATGGATATCCAGGAACTTCTAATTGTTATATTTGCTGACTCCCCCCTCTTCACCCTCCCCTAACCCTTCTGTACATCATAAATGAACGGCCCCTAATGCAATTTCACAAAAAACATTCACATATGAGGAAGAGTTATGTGCAAAATTCATGAAATGCAGGCTGTTATGGTTATAACGATTAACAACAGGAAAAAAGAATTGTAAATTGTAATTCTTTCCTTTTTCAACATTGTAATTTTAAGCCTTGCAGCGTGTTTTTTTTCGAATGGTACTTAATACTTTCAAAGTAAATTTATTGGCATCGCTAGGGTGGATGATGAAACGCACAAAACGCAATCTTTTTCACGTAAAGCTAAATTCTAGAGAACTTGAAATTTTTAATCCGACATCAACATTTGTTAAATTGATTTTGACTTGTGTTGGAACCCCCTCCCCCCAATTCCTTCTAGTCATTCATAAAATGTTTGAGATATGAAATTAAAAATGTAGAATTCAGTAGATAAAATTGCTATGTCACCGAATTTCGTTTATCTATTAATAAACCACTAAATAATACTTAAAGAAAGAGTAGCTTGCCGATGAGTTTGAACATTGAGAGAAAAATTTATTTGACTATGCTGTATAGTTTTTAATGTACTGTCTACGCTATTAAAGGTCGCATATAGTATATAATTATTTTTAGCAGGAACTGCTGCCCATTAATAAATTATAAATATCAAAAATCACTCACAAAAAGTTTTTCTTTTTTTCTTTATCGGACAAAAATGTTTTCTATTTCATAGAGGAACTGATTTTTTTCTGTTCTGTTTATTTATTGTATTGTCAAGATCAACAATTTTTCATACTCAAAAAACTTTTAATTTTCAACTTATAAGAAAATATAAAATCATGAAAAATATTAATAAAAAACTTGTTATACACTTAATTCTGTTCACTGTGACCACACCGCTTGAATAGCGCGAGAAAAGTGTCGCAAAGAGCAGCAATGAATTTTTTTTTTTCTATTTTCCGCTCTCACGGAAAATGAAAATTTTCTTTCTCAAATTTCTGTGCAACAACAAACAACTTGAAAATAATGCTGAGTGTAGAGTTGAGCAACAACAACAGCAAGGAAAATGAAAAATTCAATTTTATTGAAATAGTTTTTAAAAGAAGCGCAATAATTTGCTTTTTGGATTAAAACTTGAAAAAAATAAACTAGTGAAAAAGTTAAAAGTTTTAGGTTTTGTAATCTTTTTTATTAACAAATATACCTGAATATCACAAATCGATTAATTGTCAAGAAATCCGGCACCAAACCAGTGTGACTCTGGCATAGTGTTGGATTTAATTCGAAGCCAGCATCATACTAGAGTCATGCCAGATTTTTATTCCATTAACCGACTAGTGCTATTCGGGGTAGGTTTTAGTGTCAAAAAAGGTTTTTATGTAAGTTTTTCATCTGGCTGTTTGCTCAATATAGCTGAAACGCAAAACAGTATCAATTTTGGATGTTTGCATCTTTTTAATTTTATTAATAAAAGGTTTTGGAAATAACGACCGTAGGATAATTAAAATTGATGTTTCGTTGTTTTTAAAGTAAAGTAAGTTTTTGTTTTTATTTTTAAAAATAATCCTAATGATGCAGCAAAGTTATAAATCTTTTAAAATTACACACATCATAAACTTTTCTAATAAAACCAATCAATGGGAATATGTCATTTATTGATAATACGATTATAGTGATTATAACTAGATAATAACTTAAGTTTATAATTGCTGTGTATTAGAGAGGAGTTAAGACCAACTCCTTATTCAATAAGGAGATACAGAGGAGAAAGTTTGGCTGGACTGGACAAACACTTCGTAAGAAAAACGCCAGAGAGGAATGTCATTGCTGGGACAGAAACAAAAGTTTGGTGCGTGGCACTTGGATGGAATCCTTAAAGCAAGAGACGCCCAGGGGCTCCAAAAGCTACTTGGCGAGGAAGAGTGAATTGAAGGACTGTCAGCGCACAGAAAATTTGTACAAACTAGTTGACAAGGCCACATCCGAGTCAGATGGAAAGCCTTTTGTTGTAACCTAAATTCCACATACATATGTAGGAACATGGTCACAGTAAGTAAGTAAAACCACCTTAAAACCTCAATTATTGATATTCATGATTTATATGAATCCTAAGCCTCAAGAGAAACGATGTAGTAGCTGTGAAGAACTGTTTACATCAGAAAGCTTTTCGCCAGATTTATTGTTTAAAACTTATTGTAAATTGAAAAATTGCATTGGATTTTTGCTGCACATTGCAAAAAATATAGTTAAATACTTTTAATACTTTATATGTTTGTTTAAGCACATAAAGCACCGCAAAAGCAAATTTTCTTTTGATCTTTTCTTTTATAATAAAAGTTTTAAAAGCCCTCGAGTTGTGTTTATGGATGAAAAGGAATATATCAACAGAAGCTATTTTGTTCAGGAAATTCTCATCCTAATTAGCTAAGGTTGAAGTAAGGACCATTTGAAATTTAAATATCGTAGACTTAAAACACAATTTCGCAGCTTATCCAGGACAACTCAAGAACTTAAGCAAGAGTCTAATTACTAAACCATTCATAGACATCCACATATACAGATTAATGTAATACTTTCTGACTTCAAAATATCATAATTATACCACAAGTTGAGATTGTTGAGTTCCTGTTTATGACACTTCAATATGCTTAGTGCACACAAATATTCATATTAAATATATTTATGTATTCAATATTACAATGTGAAGCAATTGACATCAAGAAAGTGGAAAGTAAGAGGTGCTAAATGGTTCCGATTACTATGGTTGTAGATTTTAGCTGGAAAAAGCATAAACAGTTTCTTAGAGACTATATCAATAAAATCAATGACGTCATTGCAAAAGAAATTTCTAAAAATTTCACTGTGTATGTGCCTGTAGCTTTTTATATGCATTTTCCTAAATATGAACCAACTATTGATTTTTTTCATTTTCAAACTTTTATTCTCTTTCATTTCTGCTCACTTTGAAGTTTCTTATCTTGATTTTAATAAGTGAAGTCATACAATGGATTTAAAAGCTAAGTTTTGAATTTAAAGAACCAGTTTTATAGTCGCTGATAGCTGATAATCATAGCATTTAAACTATTAAAATACCAGGGCATATAAAATATGAAAACATTGGTAAAAGAATTTTAAAATTTCAATTTTAAATAAACACAGCTTCTTTTCTAAAGTACGATTTTCTTTCATCATGACTAATGTTATAATCTTGAATGATAAATTATGCAAATTTTTCAAATGAATTTGAATTTAAATTTAATTGTTCTGGTACGTAATTTTAGAAAATCAAGCATACAAAAGCCCTTTGAAGTAGTATTGCATGCTTGGTTAAGAAATTGAAATCTTACAAAAACTCAAAGCTTTCTAGCTACTGAGACTGTTTACTTAGCAAATTTTAGCTTCTCCGGATTGAACAATTTGAAAAACATATTTTTTTTACTTTATTCTCTTCTTATTGGTATGTTTTGGAACTTGAGAAAGTTTGTTTTGGCTGGCAGTAATGAGCCAAACTGATACTAGCATCTAGCCTCTAATTTTCATATTCCCTCTCTTAAAAAAAACTGGCTACGCCGCTAGTACGTTAATACAAAAGTTTAATTATGTTTTGAATGTTTTCAACTGTAACACTCAATCATTAGAGTGATTAATCATCTGCTTAAGTTTTTAGGGACTTCAACAAGTCTGGCCAAAAACTGTAAAATGTCCCCGAATGGCCCAAGTCGGTTAGTCGAATAAAAATCCGGCATGACTTTGGCATTCGATTTAAATCCAGCACCATGCCAGATTCACACTAGCTTGGGCACCAAGCTGAGGATTTCTGATTGATTAACCGACTTGTGCCATTTAGGGTTTTCTATCGTCAAATAAATATCTAGCAACCCCAATTGCTTAGTCATTCTATAGGCAATTTTTTAAAAATAATTTGTCAACTGTGAATAGTCAAAATCTCAAAGAATTGCCTTCCTTACTCCCACATGATTTACCAGGAAAATTGAATATTATTTTCTTCCAATATTCAATCATTCCATAGAGAAAATCATTTTATAAGAAATATTTCATCCTTCTGTTACTTGTCAATAGCCAGGGTTGTATAAGCACTAAAGCAAAACATTTTGCCGGGGCGCTGCGACTAAGAAGGCATAAAATTCAATAAATGAAGCATTGATGCGCTAAATGGTATGAAAAATGTTTGAAGTGACCTAGCTTTAGTTGCAGGAGGACATTTATGGACACATCCATACATCCCTGCTAATAATGATTGAGTTCATAAGGCTTTGTCAATAAGTCTAGAAGTTAAACGAGTGAAATGTCTTGTAAAACTAAATTAGAGCAAAAACGTACTTCTCTTTTTCTGTTTTGGAATCAGTCTCTTTTTCTCACATCCGCACTTTTTATCTGCAGAATGCTGCACTGTCACTCTTTAGCATTTTTAATCTATAGAATGTATAAAACATGCAGGAACAAAGCGAAAAAAAAATTTGGAACTTTTCCTTCCTTTTTGACTTGGCTTTATTTTTTGAAGGAATCACAACAATAAAAAAAAAATCAGCACTCAAACATTCACATTAGACACGGTCGATAATTTTATTGATTATTAAAAAAGAAAAACTTTTTTAAAATGTTTGGAACTTTTGACACCATTTAATTTATATTAATTGCACGCATCAATTGATATGACTGGATTTCCTTTATCCAGACCAACAATATATATTTCCTTGTAAATTTTGTCACTTTTATATTTATCAAATATCTTTTTTGTATTTTTATATTTTTAATTTCACTCAATGTCAACTAGCGACATTGGCTGTGAATATGCTGAACACATACTGAAAGAAATTTTCCAAAATATATTTGTGAATGCATTGTGTAAGGTTACGAAAATTTATTTTCTCTCTATCTCAATTTTTTTCTCTCAGAAATGCAAGCTTAAAATGCAAAAAGCTCTTCTTTTGTTCATTTTCATAACAAATTTTCTTTTTCCTGAGATTGCGCAGTCTTAAATAGTTTCAGATACACGTGATTTTCGCTGTAGTATTTGAAAGCTCTGATGAATATGGGGTGCTTTTATTTAAATGTAAGAAAAGCTTTTCGTGTTATTTTAAACTGTCGAGGGTATACTGCAGTGGTTCGCGAACTTTATGAAGAATAGGACAAATCAAACTTAGTATCAGAGCTCGAAGTCGATAGGGCTCGAGTCGACTTGAGTTGACTTGACTCAAAACCGACTCAAGAAACTGATTTGAAAAAACCCGAATTGACTCGAGTTGATTTCGAGCCCTGCTAAGTATAGCGACGAACCGTGAACCGATTTCTAATGATATTTGAGGTGCCCTACTGTAGAATCCTCTGCTGTAAATAAGCAATTTTTTGACATATTTTCTTTGAAAAAAATTAAATAAGTCTTAACAGAAAACAGTGTGAGAAGCATTGATATTCCAATCATAGATGTAACTAGAGTCAGATGAAGTTGTGGCACCTTGCAAATTTTTCCAAATTTTCCAATTTTTTTTTCAGAGCTTTTTCTTGGAGTTCAAATAAGTGGACCATTAAAATAAGCTACAAGATCAAAACTAAGAATTAAGCAGCAATAATAAGTTTTGACCATCCCTAATATTTTTGAAAATTCCTTAAGACTTAATAAATATGAAATGATTATTTTATTTGACTTTTACGATTAAAAATTTCAGTTTTCAATATTTCAATTCATATTAAAATTTAAAAACCAAAGAGCTAATACAAATCTAAGTGTAACATTTATTCCTTAACTTCATCATCATCTTCATCCTCTTCGTCAGTAAAATTAAATGCTAGTGCTGTTGATGTTGGCACTTTTGATGTCTGTTTCATTGACATAATAACATCTGAATCAATATCTTGAAAAAAAAATATTTTAACAAATTAATTTGATTTTTAAGAACAAATAAAATCTAGACATACTTTCTGTAAGAGTGTAACTCTCAGAATCTACTTCCATTTCCTCTCCGATTTGTTCTAATTCAAGTTCATCATCATATTGAATCTCAGCCCCATCTTGTAGGACTTCCACCACTACATAATTGTCACTACCTTCATCGCCTGCATTTCCAGGTTCTCCTTTGACACGAACAATTTTTGTAGTTCCAGGTTCCGTTTGGCCATTCTCATGCTGTGCCATATGTCGCATTAAATTGCCTTTATGACGAAATGCTTTATTGCATGTTGGACATAAATGTGTCTTTTCTTTTGGTGTTGTTGCCACATAATTTGGATTATGGTAAATATTTTCGTGACGTTTAAGAAGCTGTTTTTGTCGAAAGGTTTGGTCACAAAATTGACAATTGTAAGGTTTCTGATCCGAGTGTATTAGCATGTGAGATTCAAGATGTCTTGCTGATATTGAAGCATATGAACACCTAATTTGAGTATGTATAAGCTGTTAATAGATATTCAATGAAAAAAATTAAAAAAATTCTTACAAGTCACATTTATAACATTTCTCTCCTTCATGGGTCTTTGCATGGATTTTGTAGCTGTATCGATCTGGAAACTCTCCATTACATCTCTTGCATTGTATTGGCTTTTCTGATGTATGTAATTTTTGAACGTGAATCCTTAAATCAGTTTTCCTGCCACAAGTTGTAGGGCACAATTCACATTGAAATACAGGCTTGTCTCCAACTGAATGAATCAATTTATGAGCTTTTAGAGAGTTTGATTGAGTAAATCTTGCTTGACAGACCTAAGGGAGATTTTATTAATTTAATCAGTAATTACAAAATGGAAGTAAACAGTTCTTACATCGCATTGATATGGTTTTTCCCCAGTGTGAATTCTAAGATGCCTTTTTAATTTGAATGTATCAGGAGATGCGTAAGTACAATGAGGACACTATTGAATAAAAATAATTATTGTTTTGATTGAGTATTTTCATATTATCAGTGTAAAGGGGGAAGGATCTGGCTTCGTAGCTAATAATCTTAATAAGATATAACCAATAGTTTTATTCACCTGATATGGACGTTCACCTACGAAAAATAAAAATTAAATTTATTAATCATGTCAAGTAAATTACAAATTAATAAACTCCACCTGTGTGGCAACGAATATGTCGCTTAAGTTTCGATAACTCAACACTTGCATAATCACACCTGGAAAAAATTAAATACAATAAATATTAATTATTTTCAAATGAGAAGCAAGATCTTACTCTGGACACTTATGGGGTTTCTCATGAGTATGTCGATAGCGAACGTGTCGAACAAGTTCTCCTGATGTAGTGAATGCAGAATCGCAAAACTTACATTGATGAGGCTAAAAAATAAAGTTTATTAATATCAGGACTAATCAAAGATTCATTTATTGTTCGTACCTTAATGCCAGTATGAGTATTGACGTGATTTGTTAAACTAGCGATTGTTTTAAATCCTCGTTCACAAACATTACATTTATGTGGTCGATCCTCACTATGACATTTCATGTGTCGAGCAAGAAGATATCGTTTGGATGTTGAATAATTACAATAAGAACACATATGTGTAACACTGCTGTTCTGAGTTCCAGCAGAGCTCTTTTTTGTTGATGTTCCAGCTTTTGGTTTAACTTTTTCCACAACTTCTTCAATTATCTCTTCTTCAAAATCCTCAAATTCATAGACTTCATTCTCTCCATCCTCTTCTTCTTCAATAATTTTGTCATCTACACCTTCCTCATCCTCATCTTGTACAATGAATACATATTTATATTCTTCATCATTTTCGCCACTAGCTTCAATTTGCTCAAAGTTCTCATCAGATGTTATGAATACTTTATCGGCTGAGGTCGATGGGACCTCAGTTTCCTCAATTTCTTTGAATGAATTAATATACGATTGAATTTCATTTTCTTGTTTCACTTTAACAGATGACTTACTGCCTCGGGGCATATTGAATAAATTTTATTAAATTTTGGATCTAAAATGTACAATAAGTTAATTACCTGATTCAGAAAAATTAATTCATTATTAAAGATTTTGACAATTTTGTCTTATAAATATGAAATATTTAATGCTTGATTCAAACAAGTAGATGGAGTTTTTCTGGTGGCTTTATCTTTCAGCACTAGATAGCGTCGTTTTTATTTTTTACTCACCAATTTCAAATTAACGAATAAATTTGGTTTTATGCTTTATGTTAATTAATTCCTTCGGTGTTGTGCATTAATTTTTAGGAAGTTTATTTAAATTTAAACTTATAATACGATTAGTAATTGAAATAAATTACAATAAAAGAAATTTTTCATTGAAAAATCGAATTCAACGGTAAAGTTTCTGTAAAATGACATAAATAAGTGGGAAAGTTTGATTCCATTTGTATTTGATTTTTTTGGAACCGTTATGATTAACTTTGTTAAAAATAAAAGAAAATGTTGAATTTAGCCCCCCTATTTAATCATAGGAGAATCTAAGAAACCGCACTATTTGACCCCCCCCCCCCCCTCCAACCCTTTTGAATTCGAAGGTTCGATCAATTAAATAAGATCATGCAGATCAATTCTGAACCTTTGTTTCGGAGACTCAGCTGTTAATTTGAGTTAAAGCTATGTTAGCATGATATTCAGGGATCTAGCCAGGAATTTGAAGTGGGGGGGGGGGGGGTGATAAATTTTTTTTATGGAAACTTTACGGAAGGGGGGGGGGTATTTTTTTTTGTTTGGAAATCCATTGTTCTTTTTTGAGAAATGACCGTTAATTTCGGACGTCATAATTGAACGAACCCTAGCAAAATGTAGAAATTTCGTAGGAAGATTTGTCTTTACTGGCACCACGCCTGATGATATTAATAGATTTTATCTAAACTCCATGAGATTAAAACATAGATTTTTAAAAATTATAAGGATCAAAGAAGGAATTAAGATTTTACAAAATTATCTTTTAAGTGCTTTTTTTAATTTAGAGAGAACAGAAATGTAGGAAGTTAAAAGGAAGCATTCACATCCGTTTAAGGTACCTTCTTCTTTTTCAAAAAAGATCAAACGCATTAAAACATTAACGAAGAGAACGAACGAGTTAAGCAGTTCTTGTGTATTTTCAATGTTTTATATTGAATCATGCATATTAAAAGAAAAAAGTTCATTAATTCTCAAAACGGATTTCCTTTCAGTTTTTTTCCTTCATATAGACGACAACACCAATGGCACCAAGAAAGCGAAGTAAGCTGTGATTACGTTAAATGCTCTAAGCTAGTAAGCGAATGAGCAAAGTTTAAAAAGTAAGAGGATGAAGGAAAGAGAAAGATGGTGTGACATATCTGACATTTCCGTTTCTTAATGTTTTTTTAATTTTCATACATGCAGTTTTGGAAAAATTCTTAACTAGCTTCTATATCTATATCTATAGCTTATATTTGAACATTAAATTCTTTGCGTCTCATTTAATATTCAAGTCGCACATTTTACTAAAAAAATCCAAAATGTTTTATGATTTTTCATACTGAAAAAAAGTCAATGACACAAAATTCTTTGCTTTCTTCCTTCTTTGTTCCTCTGAAATTTACTTGAATATTTTAATTTTTTTCTTTATTATTCCAAAATTGACTAACAAGAAATTTATTTAATCGACATGCAATATTTAAAATTCAACTCATGTGCTTTATTGAATATATAAAGGTTCTGATAGCGGATTTCATGGAAATCAAAATGTTTCTTTAAACACATTTTAAGGCAATCCTAAGACAATAATTTTAAATGAACGAAAAACTTCTTTATCCATAAATGGGGTCGTTTAGAAATGATGTCTTCCAAAAACTAGACACTCTCGCCAAATTGTTCATGCAAAGTGCATACTTGAAGTTTTAAATATCTCATTAAAGTTTGATATCATTTATGAACGACCCCTAAACTTTTGTAATGTTTCTATGCAACCAACTATGCAACAAGTTTGCATTTTATAAATTTTGCATAGCTATGAACTTTATGTATCGTGTCAATTTTTGGCAATATTGCCATAGTGATGACTTAATTCTAGTTTGCATTTCTTTTATTTGATCAATAAAAAAAGTTTAAAAGCTTCTGTAAAAGACTTTAGATTTGGTGGAATTTTGCTTAAATTTAAAAAATTCAAACTTGTGCTTGTGGTGCTGCATAATAATGAAGTTTCCGAACACAGTCGATAGAAATATTTATCTAGCATATATTCATAAAGATACTATCCCAGTCACAAAGAAAAATGAACATCAACTGCAGCATCATCAAAATCATCAACAGATATTGGATGCAATAAATCTTAATTGGGATTTAAATCATCCTGAATCGCTTGTTGAGCTTTGCGTTAAAATTATTGCTGAAAATTGGAACAGTAAGTTTAATTAGGTGATTTATTTGATGATAAGCTTTACCAGACATTTTATGATGACTGCTTTAATTAAGTGGCAGGAGGAGAATTTGTATTTTTTTTTTTCCAAACCAGCATTTGGATAAGTTAAAAGATAATCAATTCATTTTGTTCTAGTTCTGCCACTATTTCGAGGCATCATCGTTCATGAGAATCGATCATTGTTAGCCGACATTTTGGAATTTGAAAATTTACAACTTAGTGATTTGTGTACACATATTAAAGTTAATTCATTATGGAAGAGAATGTATGGAACAAAATGGCCAATGATCAGCAATCATCGACAACGACCATGGATTGAACTTTATATGGAGAAGTATTTATCTGAATCTCTTGAAAACCTTAGGCCGGTTGATTATAATATTGACAAAATCCGAAACTTGGTAGACTTATGCAGTCCTTTTGTTCGAAACTTAAATATTGATCATTTACAAGCCATACCTGCTCATGATAATGATACAATTAATGATCACATTCCATTTGACACCATCTTGGAAAGTCTGAATGAAATCAAATGTTTATCAATAACTTATGACTGCAGATCAATTGGAACTAAGTTTTATCTTACATGCACGAGCATTTCTGATAATGACATTAAGAAATTTACACGTGGACTTTGCAATACTGATCTGTTGGAATTTAAGTTTCATAGTTCAAAATTAGAACCGCTAATGCTAAAGCAAATTGGACTAGCTTTGGATAAAAATACATCACTTGCTAAAATTGAAATGCCAAATTGCCGGTTTGGTGATGCTGGATTGTCATCATTTTGTACAATCTTAACACATGACTCACTTCCACATGTTCGTCATCTTGTTTTAAGTAATAATTTCATTAGTCATGAAGGAGCAGCACTGCTCGCAAACATTTTAAGAAGGAGAAAAATTGAAACTTTAGACTTAAAATTAAATCCAATTCTAACAGAAGGAGCTAATGAGATTTTTGCACTAGCTGGAATTGTTGAGTTGGTTGAACTTAACTTGTCATCATGTTCATTTGATGAAAATGTTGAAGAGTCATTACTTTATGTGATTAAAAATAATAAAATGCTAGTAAGGCTGAACATTTCAATTAATAAGTTGAGTGACGATTTAGGAATGGAAATTTTAAATAAACTTTCTAGTAATGATGTGTTAAGGCATCTGGATGTACGTGGAGCTGGAATTTCACATAAAATTAAACGCATGATTGATGCTACTGTACTTGAGAATCGAGAAAAAAATAATACAGTTGGTCAATAGATAATTTTTTTATTGAGTAGATTTTATGGAACAATATGTTTAATTTCAACCTGTTAACATATAGTAGCGTAGCTAGAAGGGTTAGGGAGTTTGAAAAATAATTTTTTTAATCATAAAATTAACGCAAATTTTAATAATTTTTTATTTGGATCAATTAGAAGGCGGTTAAAATCATCCATAAACTCCTCTTTCCCCTGCATGTAGCAAATTACTGACCAAACATTCTGGTTTTCATTTTTACATTATGTTTAATGACAAATATGATTCAAAAATGTTATTAATTTGTGTTTAATGAACTATAATTGATCGTAAGCTTCAATTAAAAAAAGCATAATTTTTTTCAATTATGAACTTTAACATTTGATTTAATAAAAGTGGAATTTTCAAAAAAATATTAAATTATAAAGTCATTGAAATTTAATTGATTTTATTTATTTCATAATCGAACAAATAAAATTTATATTAAATCGCTATAGTTTTGTCTTTCACTCCTTTCCGATTTATTTTATTCTTGTTGGCTTCTCAGTTGGTTGGCAATCATGAGTGTTATGATGGCAAAAGTTTATTAAATTTCTTGTCTTTTTGGCTTCCTTTCGTTTCAATCTATTTTTATCTCAATTCCTTAGTTTCACCTATAATATCTCTAATGGTGATGAAGAATCCAAAAAAGAATTGATTCTTTATGAATTTACCTTATTCTTATCATGCTACGGACACGTCGAAAAATTCGTTATTTTTTGCTTTGAATTTCAAAAAACCGTTAAATTTTCATGAATATTTCTTGCAAACACTGGCAAAAACAAGGCTTGGGCAAACGATTCTTATTCTCAGCTTCGTGTTTATCTAAGTTTAGATAAAATCATACCAGAAAAATACAGGAATTTAAGTATTAATGCTTAAAATTTTAAAATTGACAGATTTTAAACGGTTTTAAAATATTCAAACGCTAGGTCGACGAAATTTAAACATGTCGAAAAAATTTGACACTGAAATGTCCGTAGCATGATTCTTATGCTCATTCGTGCATCCTTTGCTGCTTTTGTGTAAGACATACCAGGAAATTAAATTGAAAAATTGATATTCACACAATGTGTAGCTGTACGGTGTCATCTCTGCATCTATATTCCACATTTGGATGCATTTAAAAGAAAAAAATTAAAAGAAACGACTCAGACAGGGCAGTTGAGATACAAAGAACAGTTGAAGCAAAATTGGAATTCACTAAAAGCTTTTTTGTATTTCATTAAGATTTTGAAGTTGAAAATATAATTTATGAACAAATTAAATAAATTCAATTTTAATTCGCATTTCTGTGTCAAAATTTTAAAATATAAACTAAGTTGCGATTATAATCACAGAAAAATATAAGTCACGACCATTTTAAGTGTCCAATCATCAACTTCATCTTCTGATTTTGCAATTTAATTTTTCATTGCATTGATATCATAAAACAATTTTGTGGTGAAAATTCAATTTAAGAGATAGTTGCCATTTGCGCTTAAAGCTTCTCCTTGTATTCTTTTCTTTCTCGAATCATCTCATTGTAATGCTCAGTTCGGTTTCGATGTGGTTTCTTATACTTTATCAGCTTCAATCTTTCATTTTATAGTTGGTTTGGATGTCTTCTTATGGTTTATTCATAAATGATGTCTAATTTTTCAGAACGAAAGTGTTTTGTGCTAGTCTTTAGAGATAACAGAAGTGCTTTGTGTTTTAATATAGACAATCCTACATAATGGTCAGTATATGAGTTTGATTAATTTCGCTCTCAGGTCTGACGCTTTCCCGATCGGCACATATTGAAATTCATTGAATGTCTAATTATAATATCAACCCAGCTACCGGATAGCAAACATTTCAATGTGTGCGGATCAGGTTTGTGTTTTTATTCACATCATTTATGAACGACCCCTTTTGAATTTCATTTCTTGTGCAACATTTTTCATCTTACTCATTTCAAAACTTAGAAATTGAAGATGAAAAGACATAGATTGAATGTGATGGCCTGAAGGATGATGTTCTTTTACATGCATCCTTTAGTATAATAATGTTATTGTGGTTTTGAATTTGTTGTAATTTTAAGCAAGTCTGATCAAATTTCATTTTATTTTGCTTTAAATTTAAATTTTTAAAAGCATCATGTTATTCACTTTATATTCTCATCTGTTTTACTTCAAAGTTTCTCCTAACTAGATAGCCAAACACAGATGCTCCTACAATTCTTATTTTGTTGGATAACCTTACGTTCAATTTATAGGGTAAATAAAAATCAAACAATTGAAAGCACGAACGCATTGTGAATTAAGTAATGTAATTAACATTAAAGAGGAATGATTGGAATTGTTGAATTAGATGGGCACTTGGTTTTATCTGTTACATGCATACTTTGAACCTTTAGTTTACTATAAATGTCTTACCCGAATGGCATAAGTCGGGTAATCAACCAGAAATCTTGCACGGAACTGGTGTGACTTTGGCGTGGTACTGGATTTTATTAGAAGCAAGCACCATGCTAGAGTCATTCCGGTTTGGCGCTAGATTTATATTCGATTAACCGACTTGTGACATTTGGGTTAATGTCTAAATGTATAAAAATTTCGTACATTTTAATAAAATTTTTGCAATCAAGTCAAGATGCCCAGTGTCTATTTTCTTATTAATCCAAAAGATAGCAAAAAAAAGGAAATCTAATTAGCTCATAACAACTGGTATAATCTATCACTGTCTTTTGGAACATACAATATTCTTTTTCCAGTTCACGCCTTGCAATCAATTTTCCCTTTTTGTACTCTATTTAATTTTGTTCCCTTTACATGCCTTTTGCCAATTTCAATGCACACGCATAAATTTATAAAAACCAAAAGGAAAATAGGATGGAAGAAGAATTCGCATCTGCAATTGTAGTTTTATTTATTTCATCATATTAAAAACGCCCATGGATGCCTTTTTTTCTTTATGTTGTCTGATAAATGGATTAAGTAAATTATCTATGCGAAAAAGAGCATTTGATTAAGGAAATTTTTCTTTTTTTACTCTTCCTGTTAAGGAAGTCGTCAATCTATGCGCGCATACTAATTTTGAGAGGGTCTAAGTTTAGGTTTAATGAATTTTCATTTGAAAAATCTAGGAACTAATTGGTTATCCCATGAAGTGAAGTTTGACTGCTCAAAAATCACAGTTACTTACTACTTTCTTACTTCGCTGGCCGTACAGATCAATTGTGATCTATGGCCTCTCTTAGATGGCGCCTGAAGCACAAAAATCACAGTTACCAAAATTAGCTACAAACTTGAAGGTTTGATCTGAAAATCTCATTATTATGCCTTCTATTGCTGCCATCCCTAGCCACAGAACAATTTTATTTGCATCTCAAAGAATTCTAAGCTAGTGAGCTCTGTGTAGTCCTAGAAAACAACTTTTGCCCAAGATGTAGATTCTACCAGTATACTCGTATTTTATAATCAAAGTTAAGTGTCAATGACACACTTTTCATTCAAAAGGAGATACATAGGCATCCATTGAGTAGTCAAATAAGTTTTGATAAAGGCATAAAAGCATTAAATTTTTTCAAAACTTTTACTTTATCCAGTAAATCACAAAAATAAAAGTTTCTGCTTATGTTACCACTTATGTGCAATTTAATGTCTAAGCATACATGTATAGATACAATGTAAGCATATAAAACTTATCAAATTAGTCTCTTCCTTCATCCTCTTGAGAGCAATTTGTTTTCTAAATGAAAAGCATTTTCTCCATTTAACATTATATTGCATGAACGGGTCAGAACTACAGTGATAAGTCTTCTTGACTTAATAAAAACTCTAACATTATCACTATTGTCCATTTTCCATTCATTCATACTGTATCCTTGTGAATATGATGAACATTTTGATTTCCACGATGCAAAACTTTAACTTTATGAATGAATATGGAAAATGACAGACTGGCACGATGAAACATAGCTGCATATTTTATTAATAATGAAAAAAAATCTCGTCTCTATTTCTATTTCACAGCAGCTTATGCCAACATCTTGCCAATCCATTTTTCCATCCTTTAATTCCATTCGAGCTTGTTGTCGATGCTTCACGAAGATTGATTTTTCTCAATAATTAAACTAATAGAATTATGAAAGTTCTTCTACATCTCACATAGATTTAATCAAGATAGCACTAATTAATAATAAAAAAAGGCACACTGTCTATATTTTATTTTATTTTTATTTTGTTCTCTTTCTCATAAAACTAGCTAGGCACAAAAAAAAATAAATTTCTCTACACGCTTCGTTAGGTAAGCTTTAATGCTTCGATGGCTAATCGACAACTAAATTATAAAAAAGCAGATTATTTAATTCATGACTTAAGAGCCTCCTTAATTTTCAGTCAATTTATGTAGTCCAAAAGCGAACTCAATTTGAATTTATTTTAAACTCAGTGACAATTCTTTCCCTCTCTTTCACTTCTGTGCTGTGGCTTTATTTTGTCAATGTGTTTATTCTTAAAAAGGTACTGTATGGCACAAGTAAGCGTTAAAAAATGAAGAAGAACAGGTAAAAAAATAATTTTATTGCCTTTTTGTCAAGTAGCTTGAATTTGGACGTGAGGAGCTCATGGATTGTCATTTTTATTTCTTAATTCTGCTCAGGGGTCGTTCAATTCATGAGGTCTCTTTTTTTTGGGAAGAAGGGGGGCGATCCAGGGGTTTGGAACTGATCAATCGGTGTTCTAGATCATTGTTTAACAGTTTAGCAATTATGGGAGGGTTAGAGGAGAGGGGAGGAGTTCCAAAATTTTAGTTCAATTCAAACAATGCAGTATTTTATTCATTATGCAAAATTCCTGCCGAGACTGAAGTGAGTCTGAAAAATTTATTGTATGTGTGACTTAATAGCTGAATAGTCCCTCACCATACACTCAAGTAAATAGACAGAAGAGTGAAGCGAGAAAGACAGAAAAAAAAACTTTTTAATTTATAAAATTTAATTTGTAAATCACATCACG